CCCAGGGACCACCGCTGACCCTAACCACGCCCTAGGACCATTGTGGACCCTAACCATGCCCCCAGGGACCACCGCTGACCCTAAACCACGCCCCCAGGACCACCGCTGACCCTAAGCCACGGCCCCCAGGGACCACCGCTGACCCTAACCACGCCCCCAGGACCACTGCTGACCCTAACCACCGCCCCCCAGGGCCCACCGCTGACCCTAACCACCCCCCCAGGACCACCATGCCCCCAGGACCACTGCTGACCCCTAACCACGCCCCCCAGGACCTTCCGCTGACCCCTAACCCATGCCCCCAGGACCACTGCTGACCCTAACCACGCCCCCCAGGGACCATCGCTGACCCTAGCCACGCCCCCAGGACCACTGCTGACCCTAACCATGCCCCCAGGACCATCGCTGACCCTAACCATGCCCCCAGGACCATCGCTGACCCTAGCCACGCCCCCAGGACCACCGCTGACCCTAACCACACCCCCAAGGCCCAGCCCCTAAAGCAGTCACTAAACTCCCACCTGCTCAAAACCTCACAAAGGAGACTCAGCTGCCACACGGGACAGCCACATGCAGAGGCGAGGCCGGGAGAGGGTGCTGTTCTAGAATCATCACTGAGCAGGACCAAGCTGGCCCCGTCCGGGGATGCAGAAGAGCCCGGAGGGGGCTGGGCCAGTGGCAGCTCCACGCCGTCCACAGCCCGGGGGAGGGGCACGGCAGGTGCCCATGGGGAGGTTTGCTGGGCAGAGAGCCAGGACCAGGAGAACCTGGGTTAGTGGAGAGAGCTCAGTGGGGGAGGGGTGCACGTGGGGAAGAATGAGAACTGCTGAGGGCGAGCAGGCACCTGGGAGGGGGCGGAGCCGAGGAGAGGCTGGGGGCCCTGGGAAGCTGGGGACGGGAGGCATGGGAAGTCCAGGAGATGGACGGAGCTCGGTGGCTGTGCTGGAGGCGGACCGCGCTCATCGACACGGATGGGGTCGATCCCGCGTGGGAGAAGAGGCCAGAGTCCAGGCAGGGAGGAGCTGCCAGACCTCTGCGGGGCTGGAGACGGACAGCCGAATGAATTACCAGGGACCCCCACTGTCTCCATGACGTGGAAGGTGGGGTCCCCGCTGAACGGCGGGGCTGCAGGCTGAGCGAGAGGGAGGGGCTGAGGCCCTGCGCACCATGGAGGAAGCTGAGAACGCGATGCGCGAAGCCCGAGTCACAACCACAGGCATTACGGCAAGTGACACCCGCGAGGGTTACAGTGGAAACCAGGGGGCCAGCGCCGTGGCGCAGGGGCAAAGCCACTACTGGGGAGGTGGCCATTCCATAAGGGCTCTGGTTCACATCCTGGCTGACCCATGTCCGATCCAGTGCCCTTCTAATGGCCTGGGAAGATCTCCCTTCTGTCTGTCTGCGCACGTGTATGTGTGTGTGTGTGTGTGTGTGTGTGTAACTCTTTCAAATAAGTAATATATATATATATATTTTTTTTTTTTTAAGAAATGAAATGGAAGTCTGCTTGCAACGCCAGCATCCCACATGGTGCCATTTGGAGTCCTGGCTGCTCCCAAGGAAAGCAGCAGGAGGTGGCCCACGGGCTTGGGCCCCTGCCACCCATGTGAGTCTGGGGTGGAGTCCGGGGCAGTGAACCAGCAGATGAAAGATCTGTCTCCCTGTAACTCTGCCTTTTGGAGAGAGAGAGAGAGAGAGAGAGAGAGAGACAGAAAATTTCCACCGCACCCATCAGTGGGAAAGCAAGGGGGCCCTGGCTCTGCTTAGCCATCTTGGAGAAAAGCAAAGGCCTGGCCCACGCTGACCCCGAGTGACCCCTTCCTGGCCACAGGTAGCTTTGTGGGAAAGCCCTCCCTTGGGGCAAAAACCTGTTGCGCACCCAGAGGAGAGCAGAAAGCAGAGGGGCCGGCGGCCCTCCGAAGGTCGGGGGTATCTCACGGCTTCTTCGAGTCTAGATCCTGGACACTGCCCTTGGCGGGCCACCCCATCAGCTCCCGCGTACGGGGGCTCTGCTCACGGCCGGAGCGCAGCCCTCCCTGCCCGCTGGACCCCACGGGAGGTCTCTCCGCAGCTGAGGGCTCCGGCATGGCCTGCTCTGTAACAGAGGCAATGAGGTTTGGGGGCCTGACCGCCCCGCGTGGTCACCAAAGCGGAGGATGACAGCCGCAGCTGGGGACGCGCCCGCCCGAGGCGCCAGTGCCAGGCGCTAGAGCCCTTCCGAGGGGAGGGGAGCAGGGCAGGGCGCTTCCCGGCCGCCGCCCACCTGCCCCGGGCGTCCAGAACCCTGGAGCCGGTCCCGTAGCGCGCAGTGCGCAGCCAACGCGGCAGGTGGCGGCGTCTCCCCGCGTCCCGCCCGCTGCCCGGCCCGCAAGTCCCCGCCCTGAACCTTACGGGGAAGGCGCGCGGCTCGCCCCTGGCTGGCGGGCGGCGCTGGTCCGAGCGCCGGCGGGAGCGTGGCCGCCGTCGAGGTGCCCAGGGCACGGGACAGCGCCGGGGGCGCGCGCCGTTCCCCAACCCCGCAGCCCAGCGCCCCGGAGCGCGGCGACGTCCGGCGAGCGGCGGGGGCGGCTGGGCGGCCCCGGCAAAGCCGCTCCCGGCCCGCCCCACCCGGGCCTCTTCTCTCGTCCCGGCCAGGCGGCGGACGGGCGCCCGCGGGCCGGGGCTACATGGAGCCCCCGCGCGGCCGTCTCCGCTGGCTGCTGCTGCTCTGGGCGGCCGGCTCGGGGCTCCTCGTCGTCCTGTACTCGGCGCTGGAGCCGCACCCCAGCCCCGGAGCCCAAGCCAGGTAGGGGCTGCGGCGGGCACCTTGCGCCGTGGGGACCCGCCCTGCGCCCGGCGAGCCGCTCATTGTTCCCCGGGTCTGAGCAGATGCGCCTTTTGCTGTCGGAGTCTGGCCCGGCCACCTGAGTCTGATCGAGACGGTTCCTGGGTTCTTGCGCTGTTCCTCAACCCCACCCCACCCCACCCCCGCGCGGGCGCCTTCGGGAAGTCGCACTTTTTCAGACTCTTTAAGTTTTGGGCAAGGACCCAGGCGCCCGGGTTTCCAGCGGGGCGGTGGCCAGGCTACCTCCTCCCTGGCCTCCGAGTGATCGCCTGTGCCATCCGAGAGGCACGGGAGCCGGATCTGGGTCCCGGCCCCCCGCCCCCCACCCAGTCTGCGCCCCTGCGCGGCGCTTCCTCCGGCTGGCCCGGGGCACCCTCCTTTCTTTGTGCGCAACAGGGGGAAACCTGAGAGCCTGCCTTTGGCGAGGGGTGGCTCCCCGCGACTTAGCTGCACTTGGGGATGCAGATCACCAGGCCCTTCCATGCCGGGTTCCCCACCTGTGCCCCCACTGCGCACTCCCCAGAACGCTCTGAAAACCAAGCTGGCATCCGCTGGCTGGAGACCAGGTGGAATCAGGACACAGAGCTGGCCAGCAGGGGCCCGGCGCCAGGGAGCCTGGGAGTGAGTCCCCACGGAGGGACCTGGTGTGACACCCGAAGCTGGCATAATAAAGAGGCCTGGGAGAGGGGACGGCATTGAGAAAGGGGGAGGGGCGCTCCCTGTCAACTTTATGTAAAGATGCTTACACAAACTTAAAGTACACATCCTTTAAACGTCCCTCATACCCTTCAGGGGGCTTGCTCTATGCCTATTGTATCTCAGCAGAGGTGTTTCTTTCTTTCTTTTTTTTTTTTTAATATAAATCTTTCACCTTTTTCAAATCTGACTCAGAAATCATATTTGTGCTGCAGCTTGGAGCCCAGGGGGCACGTGGCAGCAGGGCCCACCTGCAGGGGTCTGGTGTGAGCAGGGGGCGGGGTGGGGGTGTTTAGTCCTGGAGAGAAGTGGGAGGGGCCTGGAGCCTGCAGGTGCAGGCTGTGTGACCCCCCCCCCACCCTCCAGGGACTTGTGCAGGGGGGTGGGGCCTGAGGAGTGGGCCGTTACTGCAGGTTGTGGTGGAACCCACTCGCAGAAGAACCTGGATGAGTGGTCCCCACACCTGTAGACCCGCAAAGACACGATCCATTTTCCTCTGAACCAGGGGGAGGCCTGAGGATCCGCATAGCACAGACCCAGCAGGACTTTTGTAAGGACATTTTAGGACAGGCCTCACTGGGACTCTGAGCTGAGTAGGTTTAGTTCTATGAAAAATGCAGCCCTTTGTCCTGTTTTCTCCCGGGCTGGTCCAACTTCCCGGAGCCCCACCCCCAACCCAGGTGCCCAGGCAGGTAACTGGAAACACCTGGGTTCCTGAGAGGGCGGGCTGGGACAAAGCCGGCCACACCTGCAGGCTCCCAGGCCACAGCTCCGTGCGGGAGAATCCGTGCGGGATTAACTGAACGGGGGTGGGGGTGGGGGGCAACAACTGGCCTGCAGCGACCCCCTCATGTCTGCCCCTTGACTCACCTGGTGGGGGAGGTGGGACCCACATGTGAGCCTGTGGGTGGGCGCGTGGGTGTTGTCCCGGGGGCCTGGCCCCGTGCATCCTCAAGGGAGGGACTGCAGGATTCCGGTGGGGGGGGGAGGAGAGGGGCGGAAAGGGTCATCCAGGCTGCTCCCATGGGCTTCTCAGGAAACAAAGGGGGGCAGATCCAGGCTCCCTGCCCCCTCCCCCCCACCTCCCCATGTCAGAGCCTAGAAGACAGCGGGGGAGGCCTGCCTGTCTCTGCCAACCTGCCGGTCCCGAGCCCTCCTGCCCCCTGGTGGCTGCCCAGGTGAGGACGGGGTCTGGGAGCAGCCTGGCCATTCTTTGGATGGGCTGGGTCCCCGTTCCTTCCTTCCTGTTTCCCCCCACACACCTGGGAATTGTGAGGAGTGGGCAGTGACGTCAGCCCTCTCCCTGCTTCCCCACGCACCACCACCACCCGCCACAGCTAACATCTAGGGGGCAGGGCAGACTCCGTGGACCTTCCTTGGCCACCCTCCCGGTTGTCCCAAGCAGAAAGGTTGTCTAAGCAGCCCAGCGCTGGCAGGTGGCAGAGCCACACCCCTGACCAGGAGCAGCCCCGCAAAGGGGGAGGGGGAGGGGTCGTCTAAGACCTGGCACCCAGCTCTGGGGCTTGGCCGGAGGCCCCTCACATGGCCGAATTCCGGGGGGCTGGCTGCCCTTCCTGTGGTAGGCTTCCCTATCCCCCAGCCACTGTCTGGGAGACCCCCTCTTTCTGCCTCTCGCTGAGGGCTGACTTCTCCTGCGTTTCTGGGGCTGGTAGAGCGACTGTCTTGTGTGTGTCTAGAAATACATGGGCTGCGGCCGGTGCCACGGCTCACTAGGCTAATCCTCCACCTTGCGGTGCCAGCACACCGGGTTCTAGTCCCGGTCAGGGCGCCGGATTCTGTCCCAGTTGCCCCTCTTCCAGGCCAGCTCTCTGCTGTGGCCTGGGAGGGCAGTGGAGGATGGTCCGAGTGCTTGGGCCCTGCACCCGTATGGGAGACCAGGAGGAAGCACTTGGCTCCTGCCTTCAGATTGGCACATCTGTAGCGGCCATTTGGGGGGTGAACCAACGGAAGGAAGACCTTTCTCTCTGTCTCTCTCTCACTGTCTAACTCTGCCTGTAAAAAAAAAAAAAAAAAGGAAGACATGGGCTGCAATCAGAGCCTGGAGGTAGAACGATCCAAAGAACAGAAACCCTTTGGGTCCCAAATGGTTTCTGTCCACCCCAGGGCTGGCTGCGGGGGTCCAGGGGTCCCCCAATTCACTTCTACCTCCTCCCACAGGAACACCACGCTATCCCGGGGGAGCTTTCGACTCAACACCCTGAACTTTGGGACCAGAAAGGTACGTGGCTGGCCGCTCTGTGGCAGTGCTTAAGGGAGAGGGGAGGAGGGCAAACAGGAACATTCCCGGGAGATTCCCAGACACACACACATACACACACACCCCATGCTCAGGGCTGGGCAGCTGTGGGCTCGGGGCTCCACGGCCGACTGCCAGGCCCTCCTGAAACCCGGCAGCAGACAAGGATGAACAAGATTTTACCTTTAAAATTTAGTCCCCTGAATTTTACACCATACTCCCCGAGGCTTCTCGTTACTATAAAGCCACATTTCCACTGCTCACCGAGGAGTGAGCTCCCAGCCCTGGGAGGATGTGGCGCAGTTTCCAGAGCCTTTGAGGGTGTTCTGGGCCCTGCTCCGTAGCCTTGAACGACAGCCGGCCTTGACCTGGGGGTGGGGGGCTTTTTATTTCAAAAACAAATCTATTTGTTTATTTTTCTTAAATTTCTTTTATTTATTTATTTGCAAGGCTAGATGACAGAGAGGGAGAGAGAGAGAGAGAGAGAGAGAGAGAGAGAGAGAGAGAGAGAGATTGATTTTCTATCCGCTGGTTCATTCCCCAAATGGCTGCAACAGCAAGGGGTGGCTCAAGCTGAAGCCAGGAGCCCAGAACATCTTCCGGGTCTCCACGCAGGTGCAGGGCCCAAGCACTGGGCATCTTCCACTGCCTTCCCAGGCCACAGCAGGGGGCTGGATCAGAAGCGGAGCAGCCAGGATCTGACCCAGAGCTCTGCTTTGGGATGCCCGTGGTTGGACCTGCTGTGCCGTGACACCAAACCCAACCAACCCACAGCTCTCGAGCTGCATTCCACCCCTGAAGCTCCCGGCAACCCCAGGAGGAGGCTTAGTTCTTATAGATGAACAGAGGCACAGAGAAGGCAGGCGCCACTCAGGATCACACAGAGGTCACATGGGTGCTGGGAGTGAGCCTCCCGCTGACCCTGACCTTGGCTGTGAGCCACTGTGTGCCCGCTGTCTGTGTCATGGTGGATTAGGGAGAGCTTGGAGGACAGGTGTTGCGGCACAGTGAGGAAAGCTGCCCAGGGGACGCCCACACCTGCATCAGAGTGCCCGGGACTGAGTCCTAGCTACCCTGCTCCCTGTCCAGCTTCTTGCCAATGTGCGCCCTGGGAGGCGGCAGAGGGTGGCCCAAGCGCCTGGGTTCCTGCCACCCACATGGGAGACCCAGGTGGAGCTCCCAGCTATTGCAGGCATCTGGGAAGTGAACCAGCAGAGGGAGGGTCCCTCTCTCTCTCCCTCCTTTTCTGTCAACTCTGCCTTTCAAGAAAATAAATCTTAAAAGGTAAATAAATGGATGCACACTTCAGTGCCCAAGAAAGGATTTGAAGCCTCAGGGAGCTGCTTGGGCAGTGTTGAGTGGATTTGTTCTGAGAGGAGGAGCATGGTGGGGGCAAGAGGCACGGGGCCACCACACAGACCCCGGGAGCTGGGTGAAAGTGGGCCAGAGGCAGCAGCCTGCAGACTCGTTTATTTCAGTTGGTACAGCAGCTTATATAGCCAAGGCAGGCAAGGGGCGGTCTATGCCCTAACCAATCACAGCCTGTTGCCAGGCAGTTTCCGAAACCATCCAATCACAGCCTGTTGCCAGGCAGGCTCTGTTGTCATGTGGTTTCCAAAGCCATCCAATCACAGCCTGTTGCCAGGCAGTTTCCATTGCCAGCAGCCATCTTGGCATGGCCTTCTCATTACACCACAGGGAGACCTTCGTGATGGCCGAGCAGACAGCAGGTGGCCCTGGACAGGTGTGGGGGGCCATCTGGAGAACAGAGAGGCCTCGAGCATCTCCTGAGTGCTTGGACCAGGTCATCCAAGTTTCCCAAAGTCCTTTCTCCCCAGCCAGGCTAAACATGGTGGCTTGAGGTGACTTCAGATATACTGCAAACAACAAGGCAAAACCAAAATCGGACAAAACGGGTGGGAATAGAATAAAAATAAAGATAGGGAAATAAGACAATGCTGGACCAGTGCATGAAAACGGTGCCACAGAGTGGAAGAGTCCTGCCCTGGAGCTGGCTGCAAGCTTCCCAGTGGCCGAGGCTAAAAAGGAAACTTTGCCACCACCTCCATGCAAAGAGCAAGGCAGGTGGCCAAGTCGAAGCGCGGTCTGCACAGAGGAGACTTGAAGGTTTTCCTCCCGGAGTTCCCTAGAGAGGCCCGGACAACCCCCCTGTGCCCAGCGCAACAGTGAGACCCATAGAGCCCAGTCTGCTGTAACGCCCACTTTGAACATGTCAGCTTGCCCGCGACATCGTACACGTGTCGCATTTGCTTCCAAGTGCTTTTGTCCGTGGGGACATAGCTGAGTGCGGAAAACTAAAGCCAGCCGAATGACCGCGCGGTAATTCACGAACAGCACGGCCGCCCGCACGCCTGCCGTCTCCAGCACGCGTGGTCCAGACGTCCCCTTCACCGCGAGCGGCTGCTTCCAACGCCCACTTCCCAAGCGAGTCATTTCCAAGGTCAAGGCCAGGTCGGGGTAGTAGTCTGTGTTTCTTAGCTGTGAAGCAGCGCCTCCATGTTTCTCAGGTTCCTACCTCGGGTTTTATGCATAAGCACTGCGTATCTTTAGGAGGCAGAGAGATAGACAGAGCTTCCGTGTGTGGGCTTCGCTCCCCTGCACGTAGGTTTTGGGTGGGGGCTGAAGCAGGGAACAGGAGCTCGAGCCGGCTCTTCCACGTCGGAACCCCGTTCCTACAGCCGGCACCGCTGCCTCCCGGCGTCTGCGTTCACAGGATGCTGGAGCTGGGCAGGGCCCCGGGGCGCTGGATTTGGGTTCTGGGCCAAGCCCCCCACCCCCACAATGCTCTCCGTGTTGTGGCTCCTGGCGCAGTCCCCCACCCGCCCTGTGGCTGCGATTGAACAGTCTGGCATAGCGTGGCGAGTTTGAGGCACTCATGTTTCTCATTACGGCAGCCATGGCTGAGCAGCCGCTTCCTGCCTCGTCCTTTGATCAGGCTAACGGCTGAACAAAGAGCCCCATTCAAAGGGCCCGGGCCGGCTGTGCGAGAGCTGGCGTGGTTGGGGTGGCAGGCAGCGGGGGCCCGAGTGCAGAAATGCTGTGTTCACTTCCTGCGGCGGCCGGAGCCGTGACCGCAGACCGGGGGACTGAACGCAACTGAAATGGACGCTCCGTCGGCTCTGCGCCTTCCTCCCAGAAGCCACTGGGGAAGCCGGGTCCCCACCCCGCCTCCACCCGGGCCATGGCCTCTCCCCCGCCTCCGCCTCACTCGGGTCTCTGCTCCCTTAAAGGACACGAGTCCGTGGGGTTAGGCCCAGCCTCACCCGACGGGAGCTCACCTGCGCCTGCAGTGAGGCCACGTGCTAGGAGGACAGGATTGCGGGGGGACACTGTGCAGCCCGCACACACGCGGAGCCTGGCGAGCACTGCCGGGGCTGAGAAGGGCACCCAGGCCCACACGCCTCCAACCACAGGGCCCCTGCGGCCCAGGCCCCGGCACCAGACAACGGCCCTGGGGTTGGCGCAAGCGTGAGGCGGAGGAGGACTTGGCCAGAGCCATGAGGCCGTGGGCACGTGGCATGCAGGACAGGAAGGGCTGGACGCCCTGGGCTACATCTAGAAAGTTCTCAGACCCCCACCCCGGCCCAGGGTGCTGGACCACACCCCTCCACTCCTGCCCAGGGTGCTGGACCACACACCCCCACTCCTGCCCAGGGTGCTGGACCACACCCCTCCACTCCTGCCCAGGGTGCTGGACCACAGGCCAACTTGGTGTGCAGGCTGGGGGTGGGAAGGCAGCTCTTCCTCTTAACCCTGTGTGGAGTCGGTGTCCCCCCCCCCCCCCGCAGTGCTCAGTCCTCTGCCGTCTTGCCTGCAGGGCCACGCCTGCCCACGCCCGCTTCGCCAGGCCATCCAGCAGCACCGGCACTTCCGCGGCCTCTTCAACCTCTCGGCCCCTGTGCTGCTGTGGGGGGGGCTCCTGGGCCCGGAGCTCTGGGACAGCCTGAGCCGGCACAAGGCCCCCTACGGCTGGCAGAACCTCTCCCGCCAAGGTCAGCCCCTCCCGCCTCCAAGGTCCCCTCTTCCTGTTCTGGGCTGGGCCAGGTCTCCTTCCAAGCATGAGCTAGAGGCGGGGAGAGGGCGCGGCGGCTCTGTCCACCCTGGGGCTGCCCTGGCATGCAGACTCCAGCGTCCAGCAGTGGCCAGGACAGGGGCTCTGGCTGCGGCCGCACCTGGGCCCATAGCTGCTCCCACCCACCCCTTCCTGGAGTTCTTTCCTTTGGGGCAAATCATTCAGGTTCCTAAGGCCAAGACCCCTCCCCGTTGCCACCCCCATTTCCTCCTGCGCTCTGTGCTGCTTGTGAGGGGCGGGGTCAGACCTCAGGTGAGGCGGGGCACCAGCCCAGTCTCCGGAACACCCTGTGTGTGGCACCGACGGACAGGGCACTCCTCATGCCCCCCCCCCCACTGCCTGCTCCCCTCCCCCACAGCCATCACCTCCACCCTGAACCTCCTGAACAGCTCGGAGAGCGCAGAGCTGTTTGCTGCCCCTGGGGACCTGCCACGCCCCTGTATCCGGTGCGCCGTGGTGGGTAACGGAGGCATCCTGAACGGGTCTCGCCAGGGTCGCAACATCGACGCCCACACCTTTGTGTTCAGGTGCGTGGGGCGGGGCGGGGTGGGGCGAGGTGGGAGGGAGCCCTGGCAGAGAGAGCCCTGGGGGTGTCTGTGTGGGGACCGTGGGGCCCAGGCAGCACCGGCTGCAGATGCAGCGGGCACCAAGGGACCCAGGCCCTGAGGACGGAGCACAGGTGTTGCAGGCGAGCGGCCGCGGCCGAGCCGTTCCCAGAACGGCCCTCGAGGGCTGGGGATCGGGCAGGCAGCAGGGCACAGGCCCCGCCGCGGGCACAGGTGAGGCCGGGCTGCAGAGACGCGGGTGCCTCTCTCGGACGCAGGCTCAACGGTGCCGTGGTCGAAGGCTTTGAGCACGACGTGGGCGCCAAGACCTCCTTCTACGGCTTCACGGTGAACACCATGAAGAACTCACTGTACACCTACTGGCGCCTGGGCTTCACCTCTGTGCCCCAAGGACAGGTGAGGTCTCCAGCCGGTGTCAGGACCCCCTCGGTGGGGCGGGCCCCGGGGCACACACGCCTCGGACCCAGGAGGAGGCTCTGGCCAGGGCCACCCCATGGGCTCGGGTGGCCTAGGACTCCTCAGGGTGTGGGAGGCCAAAGGTTCCTGCTCACTGACCGCTCACGTGCCAGGCTCTGGAGTGGCACCGCGTCCACCCCTTTACAGCTTGGTGCCCTTTTGTTTTTTCAAGATTTATTTTATTTGAAAGTCAGAGAGAGAGAGAGAGAGAGAGAGATCTTCCACCCACTGGTCCACTCCCCAAATGGTCGTGACAGCCAGGACTGGGGTGGTCTGAACCAGGCTCCCACAACTCCATCTGGGTCTCCCACATGGGTGGCAGGGCCCAAGGTCCTGGGGCATCCTTCACTGCTTTCCCAGGCCCCATAAGCAGAGTTGGATCTGAAATGGAGCAACCGGGACTCAAACGGGTGCCCAAGTGGGAAGCCGGCTTAACCCACCGCGCCCTAGCACCGGCCCCTCCGTGCCCTTTCTTTCCCCAAGTCAGCGGCAAGGGGCAGGGCCAGGATCCAGTCGGGGCTGCCTCTCTCAGAGCCCACGTTCCCTGGGGCAATCGGCCGGCCGTGGCCAGTGCTGGGGGGGGGGGGAGCTACTCCCTGCCTCCTCTGTCCCCAGCTTGGTAGAGGGCAGGGCCAGGGCCAGGGCCGTCCTAGCAGACATCAGGTGGCAGCGCAGACACACCGAGAGGTTCAGGAAAGTGGCCACGGCCCCCACGCGAGAATCATCAAGGTCCACGCCCCTGTGACCACCGGGCTCCGTTTGCCTGCACTGCCCACCAAGGGAACAGTGGGTGGCTTCTTAGGGTGCCCCCGACAGCCCTGTTAGGAAGCCGGGCTTCCCGGGAGGAGACCGCCCCGGAGTCCTGTCTTCCAGCTCAGGGCTCTGCCAGCAACCCCAGTCGCCATAACCCCCCGGCTCCGTCATCAACTCTGAGTGCCACGTGCAGGGTGAGGAAGCACCGGGGGAGGGGGTTCCAGCGCTTCCTGACCCCGGGCACCCAGAGATGTCCTGGCCACAGGGTCGGCTCTCTGAGTCCTCACGGTTGAACCTCTCTTAGCCCCTGAGCGCGCGAAACAAGGCGGCTTGCTTTCTGGGGCGGCCACAGTACCCATCACGGCGTGCGGCTCAGAACGGGAAACTGCACACACAACACGTGTGTCGTCTCAGTCTCACTGGCCGAGCAATCTGGGAGCAGCTCAGCAGAGTGGTTTTGGCTCTGGGGCTCTCGGGCAGGGAGCTGCACCTGCAGGCCTGATGGCTTCCTGGCCACCGGCTCCTGGAGGGTCCCCAGGTGGTCCACGCTGCCACCTCCACTCCCGTTTATTAAAGAATTCCATGCAGTCGAGGCCCTCTTGGAGGAAAGCAGCAAAGGCTGTGGGCTTGTGCAGTGGCCCCAGCGCAGGACCTGAGACACGTTCGGGAGATGCCCCGGTGGGCGCGGGTGGCAGGACCGAGGGGGCGGGGGCGTCCACTCTGAGCAGGAGGGAGACACTGGCCCCAGCACAGGACCTGAGACACGTTCGGGAGATGCCCCGGTGGGTGCGGGTGGCAGGACCGAGGGGGCGGGGGCGTCCACTCTGAGCAGGAGGGAGACACTGGCCCCAGCACAGGACCTGAGACACGTTCAGGAGATGCCCTGGTGGGCGAGGGTGGCAGGACCGAGGGGGCGGGGGCGTCCACTCTGAGCAGGAGGGAGACACTGGCCCCAGCACAGGACCTGAGACACGTTCGGGAGATGCCCTGGTGGGCGCGGGTGGCAGGACCGAGGGGGCGGGGGCGTCCACTCTGAGCAGGAGGGAGACAGCGTGGCCTTGGCCCCTGGTGCTCTGTGTCCCTGTGTCCCCACAGGACCTGCGCTACATCTTCATCCCTTCAGACATCCGTGACTACCTGATGCTGAGATCGGCCATTCTAGGAGTGCCCGTCCCCGAGGGCCCCGATAAAGCAGACAGGTGAGCAGGCCCGCGTGCGGTGGGAGCAGTGGGAGGCGCAGGGGCACCAAAGCGCCCCCTCCCCGTCATGGAGCATCACTCAGCACTGCACGGGGTGGGGGCTCATGCTGTCTGCTAGCCCCTGGGGACCCTCCTGGTCCCACGAGGTGGGCTGCCAGTTTTCTGGAGGGGGTGAGTGGACCTGGCTCCCCTGTCACAGAGCCAGCTGCTCAGGGCTTGGCCCACTGCTCTGGGCAGAGCAAGGCCAGGCCCAAGACGCAGGCCCAGCGTCCTGGGAACAAAGGGCACCTTGTCTCCCTTGCCCTGCTGTCCTGGGCCGGGGGCGGCTGCCTGGCGTGGAGCCTCCTCCCTGCGGCTCTAGGACAATTCCTCAGGGGTTAAGTCACAAAGGCCAGGCCACCTCCCACCCCCTGCCCCGTGGTGGCCCCTCCCCTCCCCCACCCAGTGATGACCCAACAATGCGGTGCTGCTGTCACCGGGCTGGGCTTTGTGACAGGGGCGAGCCTGGGCTCCGGGGAGGCTTCCCGCAGCGCCCCGGGAGGGGTGGACAGACGCCTCCCCGACACCAATGAGCTCCCCCTCCCACACCCCCATTCCGTCCCCCACCCAATCCCCCTCCCAGTCCCGCTCCAACAACATCGTCGCCCCTCCCGCCCAGCAGCAATACGCCAGCTCGGGAGGCTCCGCCCCGTCCCCCTCCCCCACCCGGGGAGGGCCCTCGTCCCGGCCGCCCTCCCACCCGCCCACCCCCACCACCTCGCAGCCGTCGTCGCGGGCGTCCTCGCTGACGCCCAGCCCCCACACCCAGCATGTGCCCCGCGGCGGCGGCCAGCTGCCCACGCCGCCCCCGTCCAAGTCCCCCTCGCAGTCCGGCTTCAAGGCCCTGTCGCGGAACCCCTCGCTCACGCCCGCCGCGCCCTTCGTGCGCTCGCCCTCGCAGAGCCCGGCGCCCTCGGCCTCGTACATCGGGCCGGTGCGCGGCATCCCGTCCTACATCGCCCCCTACGTGCCCCGCTTCCTGAAGGAGCCGCCCTTCTTCGAGCCGCCCACCGCGCCCCTGCCCCTGAGCCGCTGCGCCCCCTGCGCCGTCCCCTGCGGCGCGCGGGAGCCGCCGCCGCCGCCGCCGCCGCCGGACTCGCTCTACTTCCCGCTGCTGCCCCCGCCGCCGCACCACCCGCAGGCCACCTGCTCCTTCCGGACGCCGCCCGCCCTGTTCACGCCGCCCTCGTCCCTGTCCTACTGCCCGCCCGCCGAGGTGCTGCTGCACTGCCGGCCGCACGTGGTGCCGTCCGTGCTGCCCGCCACCTTCTACACGCCCTTCTCGCGCTACTACTCGCAGCCGCGCCCGCGCCGCGCCCTGCCGCGCCGGCGCCCCAGCCCCTTCCCCCTGCCCTCGCTGCCCAGCCTGCCCTTCGACAGCAGCGGGCGCTCTGTGCACTTCTATCGTGGCTCCTAGGCCCGACGCCTATTTCGGACCGCACGCCTCTGCCAGGAAGTTCAAGCTGCTCCACCCGGCTTTCATCAGCTACGTGACCAAGAGGTAGGGCCTGGGGCGGGGGTGGTCTCCGTCCTTCCCCGCCCACGTAGGGGTGCCAGGGGCCTGGGGGTCCCCGGAGTCCTCCCCTTCCTCCCCGCCCACGCCAAGGCACTGGGGCCGTCCCTGAGCCGGCTGGAGCAGGTGCGGGTGGAATGGGCCTGGGGTGTCCCCGGGGTCCTCCCGTCTTTCCCCCAGGCGCACAGCCGTCCCTGAGCTGGCTGGAGCAGGTGCGGGTGGAATGGGCCTGGGGGTCCCCGGGGTCCTCTCCTTCCTCCCTGCCCACGCCATAAGCCGGCTGGAGCAGGTAGGTGCACAGCTCACAGTGCGGAGGACCCGGCACCCCGTGGCGTTTCCTGCCTTGATGGAGGTGGTGTTACAGGGTCAGCGGCAAGTGCACAGGAACTCGGGACCCCCAAGGTGGTTTTTCACTAGGCACTGTTCACCTGGAGCAGGCCAGGAGCGGGGAGCATAGGTGTGGGGCAGGAGTAGGGCTGTTAGCAGCAGGGAGCTCATCCCGGGGAAACCTGGCCCGGCCGCCCAGGTGAGCCAGGGAGGAGCCGAGGGCTCAAACAGCCCCATCTCCCTCCCTGCTTTTCAGTTTTGTTTTTATTTATTTCAAAGGCAGTTAGAGAGGGAGAGATCTTCCCGCTGCTGGGTCACTCCCCAATGGCCACACCAGCGAGGGGCTGGGCCAGGGAGCTTCATCCAGGTCTCCCATGTGGACGCAGGGGCCCAAGAGCATCCTCCGCTGCCTTCCCAGGTGCCTGAGCAGGGAGCTGGATCAGAAGTGGAGCAGCTGGGCTTAAATCACTGCCCATATGGGATGCCAGCATTGTAGGCTGTGGCTTTACCCACTGGCCACAGCACCAGCCCAGGGTGTTTTATTTCAATTAAAGATGGATTTACTTAGCAGCCCACTGAGTTTTTTCCTCAGATACAGAACTGGTCAGGATAGAAAGGTCAGAGGTGGTTTGTTGTTTTTAAGATTTATGGGATGGGGGCCGGCGCCGCGGCTCACTAAGCTAATCCTCCGCCTAGCGGCGCCGGCACACTGGGTTCTGGTCCCGGTCGGGGCACCGGATTCTGTCCCGGTTGCCCCTCTTCCGGGCCAGCTCTCTGCTATGGCCAGGGAGTGCAGTGGAGGATGGCCCAGGTGCTTGGGCCCTGCACCCCTTGGGAGACCAGGAGAAGCACCTGGCTCCTGGTTTCGGATCAGCGCGGTGCGCCGGCCTTGGCAGCCATTGGAGGGTGAACCAACAGCAAAAGGAAGACCTTTCTGTCTCTCTCACTATCCACTCTGCCTGTCAAAAATAATAATAAAAAAAATTTATGGGATGGGGCAGGTGCTGTGGTATAGCAGGTAAAGCCAGTGCCTGCAGTGCCAGCATCGCATATGGGTGCTGTTCCACTTCCGATCCAGCTCTCTGCTGTGGCCTGGGAAAGCAGTGGAGGATGGCCCGAGTCCTTGGGCCCTGAACCTGTATGGGAGACCCGGAAGAAGCTCCTGGCTCCTGGCTTTGGATCAGCTCAGCTCGGGCTGTTGCAGCCATCTGGGGAGTGAACCAGCAGATGGAAGACCTCTCTCTCTGCCTTTCCAATAAATAAATCTTAAAAAATATATTTCTATCTTTCACCCACGGGGTCACTCCCCAAAGGCCACAGCAGCCGGGTCCAGGCTGGGTTGGAGCCAGGAGCCAGGAGCGCCATCCTGGTCTCCCACGTGGGTGCAGGGGCCACCCGCTGCGGCGGCTTCCCTGCTGCGCCACAACGCAGGCCCCGGGCTGCAGTCCATCAGCTGTCCAGCGAGTCTGGATGGTGGTGGTAGCGCAGGTACCGCCGTCAGACTAGCACGTGAGACCCACACGTCTCGGGTTTTAATGTCTTTTTGCTTCCAGGTTTTTGAAATCAAAGTTGATTAACACGAATTTTGGAGACCTATATATGCCGAGTACCGGGGCCCTCATGCTGCTGACAGCTCTGCACACCTGTGACCAGGTAAGAGGGCCTCGGCCTCAGGAGCCTGTGGCAGCAGGGCCAGGTGTGACCCCCAGGACCACCCCAGGGCTGGCTTCCTTTGCTTTCCTCCCCCCCGGGGGGGGGCAGCCCCTCTGTGGCAGTCAAGGTGAAGTCCTCAGAGGAGCACGGTAACAACACTCTTCTATGGGCACACCTTGGAGCTGGCATGGGGCAGCACGTTTAGCCTTACACACACACACACACACACAGAGATGGCAGGGCGAGGCGGCCCTTGTGAGGAGCCTGGGGGACAGACTGAGTGGCAGTTCTCAAGGCCCGGCCCTTGACCCAGCTGAAGGCAGGCGCCACTCTGGCCCCACGCCTGCTCCTGACTTGAAGCCAGGCCCTCCCAGCTCTGCCGCGGGAGGCATCTCACAGCCTCTACAAGCCGGTCTCCCCACTGGCTGCAAAGGCAGGGAAGCACTGCTCACTCACTCCACTCGGGGACCACCCGGAGGGCGGTGGGGGCCACGCCTTTCTGAGCCGCCTCCCAGCAGCTCCGCACTGACCCAGCACTGGCTCCCCACGCCCAGGTCAGTGCCTACGGCTTCATCACGAGCGACTACTGGAAGTACTCTGACCACTATTTTGACCGGGAAAAGCAGCCACTGGTGTTCTACATAAACCACGACCTGCCCCTGGAAGCCACGCTGTGGAGGGACCTGCATAAGGCCGGCATCCTCTGGCTGTACCAGCGCTGAGCCCGAGCACTGAGCCCCGCAGAGCCCTGGCTTTGGCCCCCCACGAGCCCCAAAGCCCCTTTTCTCGGAACCTCCACCCCCTTGACCCTCTCCCTCCCAAGGGAAGGCACTGAGGTGGCCTTGCACCCAGACACCTGCTCCGTGCAGAACACCTGACCTGGTCCCCAGCTCACCCAAGGGAAGATGGACCGCCCCGCTGAGCTCTCCCTCACCAGCAAGGGGCAGGTGTGTCTCAGGGCGGCACCGGTCCAGGTGACTCCAGGCCTCAGTGGTGACCGGGCCTGTGGTTCAGTGACGCAGCACACCCCACCGCCCAGACACCAAGGCGACTCAGCAGCTTTGAGGACACCTCTCAAGAACCCGAGATGGAGACGGACTTCCACCCGACAAAATGGGCAGAGGCCACGCCTAACTTGAGTAATAAACGATGGATGGTGGTTGTCTGTGTGCCGCTGAGTGCGGGGTGCCCACAGGCAGGTGGGGGGCGGTGCTGCCCCGACAGGAAGTCCCACTAGACAACGCCCTGCCTCCAACAGGCGGCCATTACCCCACGAGGAGTTCAGATAAACTTGAACTTGGCTGGTAGGCAGTGTCCTCACAGGTCTGTATCACAAGTGGTTTAGGGGCCCCTCCACCTGCAGCACCAGCATCCCATGTGGGCACCGGATCGAATCCCGGCTGCTCCATTTCCGATCCAGCTCTCTGCTATGGCCTGGGAAAGCAGCCCTTGGGCCCCTGCACCCACGTAGGAGACCTGAAGAAGCTCCTGGCTTCAGACTGGTATAGTTCCAGCCATGTGGGGAGTGAACCAGCGGAAGACCTTCCTGTCTCCTCACTGTAACTCCACCTTTCAAATAAAAATCTTTTTTAAAAAAATGGTTTTAGCCGGCACCGCGGCTCACTAGGCTAACCCTCCACCTGCGGCGCCAGCACCCCAGGTTCTAGTCCCGGCTGCTCCTCTTCCAGTCCAGCTCTCTGTTGTGGCCGGGGAGGGCAGTGGAGGACGGCCCAAGTGCTTGGGCCCTGCACCCACATGGGAGACCAGGGGAAGCGCCTGGCGCCTGGCTTCGGATCAGCGCGGCCGTGGCAGCCATTTGGGGAAGGGGGGAACCAATGGAAGGAAGACCTTTCTGTCTCTGTCAAAAAAAAAAAAAAAAAAAAAAAGTGGTTTTAAGCCCAACACCCAGCCTTTGAGCACGCCCTGTGTTTGCTTTCTGCATGGCCGGAGGCTTTGGCTCGTCTGGCACTTCCCTAACAGGAGGACACCCTGGCCAACTCATCAGATGTGGAACGCTAAAGCAGTGTTTGTGGGCATAAAATGAACGGAGTGGGGGACCAGCGCTGTGGCACTGTGGTAACAGCCGTCCGTCCCTGAATGCCAGTATCTGCACGGTGGAGTCCCTGCTGCTCCTCCTGCGGTCCAGCTCCCCGCTGATGTGCCTGGAAAAGCTGCAGCAGACGGCCCACTCACGTGTGCGATCCAGATGCAGCTCCTGGCTCCCTGCTCCAGTCTAGTCCAACCCTGGCCACCACGGCCATTTCAGGAGTGCCCAGTGGATGAGTATCTTGTTCTCTCTCCTTGCTATCTTTCAAAAAAAAAAAAACCTTAAAAATAGAGTGCTGAGGCTGGCACTGTGGCGTAGCAGGTAAAGCTGCCACCTGCAGTGCTGGCGTCCCATCTGGGATGTGGCCCGGGAAAATAGAAATGGCCCAAGTGCTGGAGTCCCTGCACCCACATGGAGACTGGGGAGAAGCTCCTGGCTCCAGCCGATGCAGCCACTTGGGGAGTGATCGAGCGGATGCAAGACTCCTCTGTCTATAATTCTGCCTCTCAAATCTGGGTAAACTAAGAAACTCGGCAGCGCCAGAGTGCCTTCTGGGTGGTGAGGCTGCACATTTTGTCCACTGCCGTGCGTCCCTGCCAGTCTGAAATCCAGCGCTAGTGAGCCAACCAAGAAGTTTTTTATTTGTGCTTCAAAATGTAAAGCCAGACATAGCAGGTGCACAGGAAGTCCCGGGCCAAGCACCTGGCTCCTGAGTGCCCAGCAGTGTCCACACCACTTGGTTCCAATCCCACCGACACACACGTTACACCCGGCGACCAAAACCCGAATTCTGTTTAAGCTACGCCCTCATCTTGTTAACTCCTCCAAGTTTTCTGGGACAATCTGTCACTCAAGTTCCTACGTTCGAAGGTGACGCCCGCAGAACCTCTGGATCCTCCTCAGAGGTGGTCCATCAGCAGACGCAGGGTCTGCCGCTGCCGCCTGTAAAAGCAAAGGACGACCATCGTCTAAGCGAACAGCCACGACCCAAACCCGCCAGCTAAAACATCATTCAGGAGAAAAATGCACTCGGCCCACCAGCACTGCTGCACGTGCCGGGGGAGACGCCGGTGCCGCTGAGGCCAGGCAGGACTCCCAGGGTCTCCCTGTTCCACTCCCTCCGCACGCAGCCCTTTAGGTCAGACCTTGGGGTTAGGTGAGCTCCGCAGAGCTCGGGTCAAACACGGTCACCAAGGTCACCCAAGGACGTCCGCCAGGCGTCGGATCTCCCCACCTGCCCTCCCGCCCCGCCCTGCTTCACGCTGGAGGAGAGCTGCCTGGCCGGTTCCCAGTCTCATTCTCTCTCTCCAATACTGCTTCTTGGTGGCTGCGCAGAAATGTGCCCTGAAGCAGGCAGCACACACACCTCCCCACTTCAAGAAGAAAGGCCAATCTGTGCGGCTCAGCCCTGGCGCCCCGCGGGAACAAAGGCAGACGCCATTTTGCTCTTGTCTGCTCTCACGCCAGCCTCCGCTGCCGGCCTGCCACCCACAGGTCTGGGCTGAGGTCAGGAGGGCTGCCTGGAAACCACACGGCGCTGGCAGTGGTGCGGCCCCTCCCCTCCTAAATGCCAAGACCTGGCACAGCGGCCCGGCCGGGCGGCCACGAACGGCCACGAACAACCACGTTCTCTTAGTTCTCCTGAGACAGGCGACAACAGACCAGGGCCTGGCTGCCCGCCCACCTGTCACCTCGCCCAGCCGGGACCCTCAGAGCACTGGACGGGGCAGAGTCCTCCCCTAGGGGCACCCGCCTGTCACCATGCCTCTCCGCAGGGTAGGGGAGGGGGACCTGGGCCCGACGTGAGCCTCCCGGGAAGGCCCCTCTGCTCACAGGAGTGAGGCACGCCACGCCACGCCACGCGCTCGCTGTCCCAGGGCAGCTGCTGAAGAAGCCTCCTCGCGCCAAGACGGCACCTGGCAAGAGAAGTGTAGGAGAAAATCTACTGAGCCAGGGGCGGCGGCCACGCCTCCCACGCCCCGGCGAACAGGGGGCCGAGTCTCAGACCTCCACGCTCCACAGCCAGGCTCGCTGCGCCTTCAGACAGGGATAACTTTCCATCATCACGGACTTGGCCCCCACCACGACCCGGGCCACCTCCCTAGGCTCTCTCACCCGCTCAGTCCACTGCGTGAGGCTCCGCCCCCGTGCACTAGCGCCCCCTCGAGGACAGAGCTGTTTCCGGTGCCTCGTGCACATCCCAGCCTTTCTCAAGTGTCCCTGCCCAAGGCCACTCCTGCAGCCACCGGTGCTGGAACGAGGACCTAAGGCGCGGCCGCCCTCCCTCACTGCCCAGGGATAAACTCTGGAACGTAGTCTTGGCCCTCCACATTCAGCTGGGCCTCACACCCCACCCTGCATTCTCTCCGGGGCCAAGGCCTCACCCCGTCCCAGGAATCCCCTCCGCCTGCCGCCCCTGCCTGGCCCTGGGCTGCCCTGTGTTCCCTCATGGACACGCGGTCACCACCTCTACGGATTCGTTTTCTCTGAATAAACTCGGTCTGGCTGTGGACGCCTGCACTGCCCCTCTAGTCTGCCCCCCCCCAACACTCTGGTGCCGGAGTGAGGCGGCTCCAATCTTTTCCTAAAGCAAGCTTGCAGCCGTCAGTCTTCAAGACGCGGGATTAGCGAGCTGTCCCAGGTCACTTAAAAATAACCGGCTCCCCGTATAATCCCGGGGAATGAAGGCCCAGAGCCACGCGGATGTCCCGCTGCTCCAGGGCGGGACCCAGGGGCTCTCCTCTCCCTCACAGTGCCTAAGGCAGTCAGTCTGGACGCCCCTAACTGGTTTACAAGTGAAGAAACGAAGTTCTCGCGGCTACCCAGCGGCAGCCCTGACTCTGCCGCTCCCATCACAGCCTCGCGACCCGAGGCCCGATGAGTTCTCCCGGGCACTGGCCCTGACTGCAGGACGCAGGAGGCAGGAGCCCGGAGCCCGGAGCCTCCAGCCCAGGCTGAGAACCCCGAGTGTCCAGTGGAAGACACACCTTAGCCGGCGTCCTGACAGCCGCTGTCTGCAGTGCTTGCAGGGGCCCAGGACAGAACCCCCCCCCCCCCGGAGAGCCCCCAGGCGACGCACTGGAGGTGCTGCCTCACCTTTCCCTAGGAAGGTCGTGGCGGGGTCCTCCTGCGCAGCTCCGGGTCCGCCAGGCTGGAAGAGAAGGAGCGTGCGTTCCCACCCGGGAGCGCGTCCCCGCTGCCCGCGTCGAGCCCTGCGCGTCCGAGGCCGAGCTTCAGCACCACAGAATTCCTCACCGACACCCGATTCAGACAGGGATAACTTTGTCCATCCTCAGCTCAGCCTGCCCAGCCCTCCCCAGCCCGGCCGGCCCCCAGGAGTCCCTGTGGTCTCACTCTGGCCCCGGGCAGGCTTCTTGTCCGATCCGTCTCAGGTGTCAGGTCTCCAGCGCACACTTGGACTTGGCTCCAGAACAAACCAGGCGGCCGATGTCCGCGGTGACCGCCCAGGGCGCGCCGGCCCCCTGTCCACTCCGGGGCTCCATCTACACGTCAGCTTCAAGCCGCCTCTGCAGACGCCCGAGAGAGGCCTTCGGGGAGGAAAAAGGGGTTGTAAAAACCAGGGCTGCCCACGGGGCCGGCGCTGTGGCGCGGCAGGTTACCACCCTGGCCTGGAGCGCCGGCATCCCACGTGGGCATTGGTTTGAGTCCCGGCTGCTCCTCTTCCGGCTCTGCTGTGGCCTGGGAAAGCAGTGGACGATGGCCGAAGCCCTTGGACCCCTGCACCACGTGGGAGACCTGGACGAGGCTCCTGGCTCTGGATCAGCTCAACTCTGATCACTGCAGCCATCTGGGGAGTGAACCAGCAGATGGGAGACCTCTCTCTCTGCCGCTTCCAAATAAATAAGTCTTAAAAAAAACAAAAACAAAAACAAAAACAAAAACACCAGGGCTGCCCAGGCTCACTGCTGTCTGGGACTGCCGGGCCCTCCTGGGACACCAGAGAGGCCGTCCACATTCTCTCCGATAGCTAAGCAGCTCCAGTCCCGGCTGCTCCACCTCCCTTTTTTCTTTTTTGGAGATTTATTTGTTTATTTGAGAGAGAGGTCTTCCACCCACTGGTTCGCTCCCCAGATGGCTGCACGGCCAGAGCTGCCCCGATCCAGAGCCAGGAGCTCCTCCCGGGTCTCCCACGCGGGTGCAGGGGCCCAAGGCCGTCTTCTACTGCTCTCCCAGGACCAGCAGAGAGCTGGATCGGAAGTGGAGCAGCCGGGACGCGAACCCGCGCCCACGCGCACTGCAGGCGGCTCCACCCGGAGGCCGGGAGAGGCTCCTGGCTCGGCCACTTGGGACCTGAACCAGCGGTCGGAATCTCTTTCTCTCTAACTCTGCCTTTCGAATGATCTTAAAAAGCTAGCACTTGGAGGCGCCGGCGTCTCATCGGCCGCGCGGGGCGCGGGAGCCCCGGGCCGCGGGGTGGCTGCGCGGGCAGCTCCCCTCTCCCCACGCACCCAGGAGGGTCCCCGACGCCACAGCCGCGCCGCAGTCAGCTCCCTGCCGCCCGGGACGCGTGTTCTCAGCCAGCCCCCAACAGCCCCCCAGTTCCCTCCCCGGGCAGGCGCCGGGCCCTCGTGAGCACCCCGCCTCTGAGGCCGAGGCCAAGTGTCTCAGCCCTGCGGCAAACGCCGTTTCCCCACCTCGGCAACCTTGCCGCCACCAAAGTCACGAGCTCCGGCCCGACCTGAGCAGCAGCCATGGCTTCCAGCCACGCGGCAGCCCGGGGAAAGAACGCGGGCCTGCGCCTGCGCACGAGTCCCCGCTGCGTTCTCGCCGCGGCTCTCGCGATGTTGAGAAAGGGCTGATGGGAAATGTAGTTCAAAGCAACGGCGGCAGAGGCGGGGGCCGCGTCTGCATGGCGACTTTGGAGCCGCCAGGGGCTGATCTGTGAAGAACCGTGGCCGGCCGTCCGGAAAACGAAGGCAGTCACTGGGCATCCGCGTGCAGACTGTCCCCGGCCGAGACCAGGAGGCGCGAAAGGGCAAAGGGAGCCGGGACCCACGGGGAAACTGAGGCCGGAGGAACTTTAATTGCCAGGCGGATGCTGCCTGGGCGCGGAGGGGCCCTTTGGAGTGGGTCGTGGACAAGAGAAGGGGAAGGGGACCCCGGGGGCATCCCTCCACTCGCTCAGCTGCCTTAAAAATGGGGGTGTCCGGGAGCGGCGGGGCCGGCGGGGAGCCCCCCGCCCCGCCCGGGGTCCCACCACCTGCGCGGGGCTTTAACTCCGAGAAGGAAGCCGACGGCTGCGTCAGGCTGGCTTGGGAGAACAGGAGCAGCCTCTGCTCTTCTGCCTGCCGTTTGTTCACGCAGCCACGCCGGCTTCGCTGCAGATCCACCCGGGGGCCCGGGCGCGGCCGGCGCCAGGACCGGCACGTGCCCCTGTGCCCCTGTGCCCCTGTGCCCCTGTGCACCTGTGCCCCTGTGCCCCTGTGCACCCGTGCCCCTGTGCGGCCGCCGGCCTACACGTGCGGACCCTCCTCCGGGTCTCACCCCCCCCCCCCCCCCCAGCGCGTCTGTTTCTGTTTACCTCCCTGAATTTCACTGGCTTTGATTTTTTTCTCTTAAGATGTACTTGTTTATTTGAAAAGCAGAGTGGCCCAGGGGCGGGGGAGAGAGGGACGGGGGTGATTCACTCCCCAGATGGCCGCAACCAGACCTCCCACCTGACCTGCAGAGGCCTAAGCTGGCAGGCCCGGTCTGCTGCCTTCCCAGGCGCGTTAGCCGGGAGCTGGATTGGAAGTGAAGCCGCCGGGACTCCACCCTGCGCTCCCGTGGGATGCGGTGTGGCAGGTGGCCGCTTCACCAGTCCCTGTCGTCCTGAGAGGGCCTGGCTGGTGCTCAGCAAAGCCACCATGAATTCATTCAGCAGCCACTGAGGCTCCTGGGTTTCTCTTACCCTAGAGGACAAATTATTTGGCGAAGCACTGAAAGGGAGAATGGGATCTCTCCCTGCCATCCGCGTTCCCGCAGACCTGGGGAGGGAGTTCCACGGGCAGCTGGCCCAGGGCTGGTGGGCCAGGGCCCCGCGGCAGCAGAGCGGCAGCAGCTGACCCCAGGGCACTGACTGCCCCTCACGACTCCGCGGCACTGAACCCCACACCCACACTGTGACGCCAGTGCTCCCCACTCCCAATTCACAGACGAAGACGCAGAAGTGTTGAGACGAGGCAGCTTAGCCACGTTCACGGGCCAGCGGCCGGCTCGGCCAGGGCTTGACCCCGGCCCGTGGAGCCCCTGCGAGAGGCTGACCTTGTGCAGAAGGGCTTCTGCGGGTTCCTCCTGGGCAGGGGGTGGCAGAAGAGGACAGAAAAGGATGTTTGCATGTTTGCAGGGTTGTTTGGGGACAAAATAGGAAATGACGTTGACAGACGGGCGTGCCCGGCTGCTGCTCTACCTGCTGCTCTACCGTTTTGAGCCACTTGGGGGCAGGACGAGTGAGGGTGAGAGGCCCTGACTCTGGCACAGACCAGTCCTCACCAAGTGTCCACCACGGGCCGCCGTGGAGCTTTGGTGGCTGACGGGCACGGCTTCCCTGCAGAGCGCTCCTGTGCCTGGTGGGTCAGGAGCAGGCTCTCTGCAGACGGGGCACCAGGGCAGCTGGGCAGTGACCTCGAGGCTGGAGCAAAGCACAGTGAAGCCGCCTCCTGGGGCGCCTGCATCCCAACTGGGGCACCAGGTCAAGTCCTGGCTGCTCTGCTTCCAATCCCCCTCCCTGCAGATGCACCCGGGAAGGCAGCAGCAGGTGGGTCCCTGCCACCCACGTGGGGGCCCCGGATGGAGTTCCTGGCTCCTGGCTACACCCTGGCCTAGGCAGCCATTGGGGAATGAACCAGTAGTGGAAGCTCCCTCTCTCTCTCTCTCTCTCTCTCTCTCTTGCTCTGCCTTTCACATAATTAAACAAATCTCTTTAAGAAGCTACAGTGACAGCCCCTGCTCCTGAGCTCGTGGGAAGGGCACAGTGTCTGGGGAATCCAGAAAAACTGGAGAAAGGCCAGAGAATGCGCACCCAGGACCCAGAGCCGCTGCCAGTGGCGTTTACGGTCACTGTGTCTCTTTTGCCCTGCAGGCGGCTCTGTCATGGATGAGTTGTGCAGATCTGTCTACATGGACAGGGAATGTCACAATCCAGAGATAAGTGACAGAGGCAGGTCACAAGCTCAACAGGGCAGGAGTCCCCAGCGCTGTCCAGAGACTGGACCGACCCTGAGTGCAAAGGGAAAGTCAGCCGGCCTGCTGTGTGCCGGGAGGTCACGGACAGGACGTGGGACGTGGCCTCTGAATCCCACAGCAATGAAAACAGGGTCTTGGAACATTCGGGGTGATTTTTTTTGGTTTATTTTATTTATTTAAGAGGCAGAGTTACAGAGAGAGGGAGAGACAGAAAGATTTTCCATCCACTGGTTCACTCCCCAAATGGCCGCAATGGCCAGAGCTGAGCTGATCCAAAGTCAGGAGCCAGGGCTTCCTCCAGGTCTCCCACACGGGTGCAGGGGTCCAAGCACTTGGGCCATCTTCCGCTGCCTTCCCAGGTGCCTTAGCAGGGAGCTGGATCAGAAGAGGAGCAGCTGGGACATGAACCAGTGCTCATATGGGATGGCTGCACCGCAGGCAGAAGCTCAGCCTGCTACGCCGAAGCGCCGGCCCCGAGGGTGATTTCTTAGCCTGGGAAGGAGTCACCTGTTATTGGTAAGAGCAGGAGGGTAGGCGTGTCCCACGCAGCTGGCTGCCTACACTCGGGGCGCTGCCCCCGCGAGAGCACAGTAGTGGGTCGGCTCAGCGGGCACGGAGTGGCCAGTCTGCGAGCCCCTAACCTGCACCTGGCGAGCCGGGCCCAGCTCCCACTCGGCTGCTGGGGCCGCGGGCCTCTCCCCGGCCCCAGGCCCAGCTCCCACTCGGCTGCTGGGGCCGCGGGCCTCTCCCCAGCCCCGACAGGAGGGCCCTCCCTTTGCCAGCCTTCATGTCGGGAAAAGGTCTGCACGGTGATGCTGGCCAAGTTCAGGAGCGGTCTCCCGCTTTGAAGCATGGCAGCCTCTCTCTGGGCCTGGGGACTTGGCCAAGGTGTGACGCCCTCATCCCGCACCTGCGAGGCCTCCCTGCAAGCCAGCGCCAGACACCTGCGGTGGCAGAGTGGAAAGAAGAGGGAACATCAGGCTTTGATGAGCGGTGGGGCTGCTGGGAAGCTCGGAGCTGAGGCCCCAGCACCCAGACCTTTTTTTTTTTTTTTTTTTTTTGAATTTATTTGAAAGGCAAAGTGACAGAGAGGCAGGGGGAGAGGTCTTTGATCCGCTGGTTCACTCCCCACCCAGATGACCACAACAGCTGGGGCTGGGCCAGGCCGAAGCCGGATTCTTCCAGATCTCGCAGGGGCCCAAGCACTGGGCCATCTTCCACTCTGCTTTTCTCATCAGCAGGGAGCTGGCTCAAAGGTGGAGCGGCCGGGACTCGATCCGGCGCCCCGTGGTGGCAGCTCAGCCCGCTCCGCCACAGCGCCGGCCCCAGGCCTCTCGTGCTGACTCAGCGACACGTTTCTACATTTTCACATTTCTGAACGCAAGGGGTGTCTTACTGGCCATGCATGATCGCTTCAGTAAAACGCACAACGCAAGGTTTTGAAATGAAATCTCCATGTTGAAGCCATCTCAAGTCCACGTCCTGTTAGAGGCAAAACTGTCCTAAGTGATGTCGGCGTTTTCCAAATCTTTTTTTTTTAATAAGAGTTCTCTGGAAGAATGGATCGCGGTGAAGGAGCTGCCGTGGGCCGTGAAACTTGCCGTGGGCGTCTGCCTTTCTGAGGTCACAGCCGCGCGTGTGTGATGGGTCCGCCTGGTGCAGCGCTGCTCCGAACGCCTCTCACTCGCTGTCTCGCTTCAATCCCATGACAGCTGCCAGTTATCGCCCACGCTCCCCAGCCAGGGAGGCCCGGGGCAGAAAGGTTCAAGGGCTCCACAAACAGGAGCGCGGGGCCGGGGGCTCAGACAATCCACACCGAAAGCCGGAGGTCTCCACCGTGCACCGTGGCAGCAGGCTGTCGCTGACCTCCCGCGACTCGAATGCACCCACCTAGAAAGGCGGTCAGGGAAACACGGTGGGGGCCGGGAAGCAGTGCTCCCCCGAGATCTCTCAGATCGGGGAAACAGCGCCACGAACCCTCTTCCGCCCAATCAGATCACTGAACGAAGCTTCGTCTTTCTGGAGGGAGAGAAGCGCACAGTGAACCCCCCTGAGACCGTGAGCTTGGCCTTGTGGGCTGCTCTGTGCTCGCCAGGAGCACCCAGGAGGACCAGCAGTGCCTCTCACTACCTGCTCTGCACTCACTCCCCCCAGCAAAATCGTTACTTAAAAATGGGCTTTTTTATACATTGTGTTATCATTTTCCTGCAGGTGTTGTTACAGATGTCACCACAGGAGCTCCCTGGATTCTCTTCTTTTGATTATTTCTTCATGCTTTGACACTTTACCTTTTTTTTTTTTTTTTTCAAGATTTAGTTATGTATTTCAAAGGCAGAGTTACAGAAGGGCAGAGACAGAGGGAGAGAGAGAGGTCTTCCCTCCGCTGGTTCACTCCCCAAATGGCTGCAACGGCTGGAGTTGAGCTGATTTGAAGCCAGGAGCCAGGAGCTTCTTCTGGGTCTTCCATGCAGGTGCAGGGCCCCAAGCACTTGGGCCATCTTCTACTGCTTTCCCAGGCCACAGCAGAGAGCTGGATCAGAAGTGGAGCAGCTGGGACTTGAACCAGCACCTGTATCACCCGTATGGAATGCCGGCACTGCAGGTGGTGGCTTTACCTGCGAAGCCACATCACTGGCCACAACAGTAATGTATTTTTAAAAAGTAAAAATAGAGAGTGTGTGGCACAGGAGCCAGGCCCACATCCCATAATTGTGCCTGGTTTCAGTCCAGCTCTTCCACGCCCATCCACCTTCCTGCTAGTGCGTCCTGGGAGGCAGCAGGTGGGTCCCCACCCCCCACCTGGGACAACCGCACTGCGTCTCCGGCTCCTGACTCCAGCCTGGCCCAGCCCTGGCTGTGGCCACATCTGGGCAGTGAAACAGTGATGTCTCTGCCTTTCAAATAAAATAAATCTTAAAAAGCTACTTTCTACTGGGCCTGCATCGTGGAGGAGTGGGTAATGCTGCCGCCTGCAATGCCAGAATCCCATGTGGGTGCCAGTTCGTATCCAGGAAGCTCCACTTCCGGTCCAGCTCCCTGCTAATGGCCTCGGAAAAGCACTGGAGAATGGTCCCAAGTATCTGGGCTCCTGCCAGCCAAGTGGGAGACCTTAGAGGAAGCCCCTGGCTCCTGGCTTCCGCCTGGCCCAGCCCTAGCTGCTGTGGCCATCTGGGGAGTGAACCAGCAGATGGAAGATATCTCTCTCTCTCCTCTATCTGTTTCCTATCTTTGCCTTTCAAATAAATAAATACTTTTTAAAAATATCTTTAAAAAAAACCCAGCTACTTTGTATCAGTCATCAGCTTACCATCCTTTAAAAAAATACAATAACAAATGTATTATTCCCTGGGCATCGGCTGCTTTCCCGAGGTGGGGGGACCTGCCTCATGGTCGCTGCCTACCTTTGCTTGCAGCGGTCTGTGCTCCCTCCGCCCTAAGTCCCCTCGGCTCCCTCCTCCGCCCTGCGTGGCAGTCCTGGCCCACACTTGAACGGGTCCCCTGTGCAGTCTGGGCTGCCGCGCTGCCGGCCTGGAGACCAGCCCCAGGTCTCCAGACTCTAGCAAGGACCTCACCTGTCGCCGGGTCTCATCTCCCCATGCGTGTGCAACGAGCAGGAGGAGGAGGCGCGTGCAGCGAGCGGGGGGGGGGTGCACAGCGAGCGGGGGGGGGGTGCACAGCAAGCGGGGGGTGTGCACAGCGAGCGGGGGGGTGCACAGCGAGCGGGGGGGGTGCACAGCGAGCGGGGGGGTGTGCACAGCGAGCGGGGGGGTGCACAGCGAGCGGGGAGGGTGCACAGCCCACAGGCCTGTTTTAAGGATGTACCCCCAGAGCACCAGGCATGGCGACAGGAAGCAGGTAGACAGTCAACGGGCTCCTGCCCTGGATCCTGCTTCTCTGAACGCCCACCCCCCGTCACGTCTGGCTTTTCTGCTGGACGGCGAGGGGCACAAGGCTCAGGCCTGCATCCTGGTCTGCTTCGTCTTGAACTCCTGAAGTCATCGCCACAGAGGCAGAGCGCATCCATTTCAGACGTGTGGGTCTGATGAGCGCACACCACACAGCCGCACTCCCAGCTGAGAGGGGGAGATCCCGGCGGCCCCCAAGAGCGCATCCATTCCTGGCCCCAGCCAGCCGCCCGTCTGCCTCCTGCCGCTCACAGTCGGTTCTGCCTGTTCTGGAATTTCCAACAGCTCTGATCATCCAGGAGGCCTCTCAGCTCTCCCAGGTTGCTGCTTCCTTGGGTTGCTCACTCCCTTTTTCTTGCCAAGTCTAACGTTGCTGTGTTGACACACCTTCCTTTGTCTTGGCTCACTGCTGGGTATTTGGTTTGCTTCTGGTTTGGAGCTAGGATGAACAGAGCTGCTGCAGGCCCGTCAGCTGTGAATATTCTGTTGGAGGACTCTGTAAGAAACTACCTCCCTACTAGCGCCATCTTACATGTTAGATCATTCAAGTGTGTAACTGATGAGATAGATTGGAATAAGTGTCGAAGGGTTCACATTAGTAAGACCAAGTGTCTGCTAATAACAATACATAGAATTTAAAAGGAGAGAATGATCCAACATGGAAAGCAGGCCACACAGCAGACTCATAGAATGACAAACACCCGAACCAGCACTCTGGCCTCAGAATCAGCCCTTAAGGCATTCAGATCTGGCTGAAAAGCCCATGAGAACATTGCAGGCATGGAAAGCCAAATACTGTGGCAAAAAATGACCTACATGAAAGATCTCTGTGAGTGAGATCCTGGTGGAAAGAAGGGACCATCAAAGAAGGAGGTACCTTTCTCTAAAGGGAAGAGAGAACTTCCATTTTGCTTATGGCTCTGTCTAAATAAGGTTGGAGTTTGTGGACTCAAGAGGCTTCCATAGCCTTGGAAGCTCATGACAAGAGCCTCGGGTGATCACTGACATCGTACATAAGAGTGTTAATTGTTAAATCAACAGCAGGAGTCTCTGCGCACTTGCTCCCTGTGTTGGACTTCTGTCCTTAATGAGTTTGCTATGAGAGTTAGCTGCAAAAGTTGTTCTCAAACAGTACTTTATACTTTGTGTGTCTGTGTGGGTGCAAACTGTTGAAATCTTTACTTAGTATAGAGTTGGTCTTCTGTATATAAAGATAATTAAAGATGAATCTTAATGAAGAATGGGATGGGAGAGGGAGTAGGAGGTGGGACGGGAGTGGGGGTGGGAGGGTGGGTATGGGGGGAAGAACCGCCATATTCCAAAAGCTGTACCTATGAAATTTGTATTTGTTAAATAAAAGCTTTCTTTAAAAAACCAATAAAACTATTACACTTAAAAAGAAAGAAAGAAGGAAACCAACTCCCTGGTTTGCCACATGGGTGTGGCGCTGTCCCCTCCCCCAGTCACCGCACCTGCTCCTGATCACGCTCAGGCCTTGACTTGACTCCCGCCAGGAGTGTGGGAGTCCTTGTGTGTTTGATTGGCGTCTCCCTGCTGCTTGGTGGTGCTAGGCATGTTTTTGTGTTTATGGCCATCTGTGTGTTTTCTGGAGTAGTGTCTGTTACACTACCCTCTTTTTATTAGGCTGTGTTACTACTTTTTAAAAAAGATTCATCTATTTATTTGAAAGGCAGAATTAGAGTGAGGGAGAGACAGAGATCAGTCTCTCATCCTCTGGTTCACTCCCCAAAAGGCCACAACAGCCAAGGCTGGGCCAGGCCAAAACCAGGAGCTTCCTCCGGGTCTCCCACATGGGTGCAGGGCCCCAAGCACTTGGGCCGTCCTGCACTGCGTTCCCAGGTGCGTTAGCAGGGAGCTGGATCAGAAGTGGAGCGGCTGGGGCTCAAACTGGCACCCATATGGGATACCAGCACTACAGGTGGCAGCTTAGCCCACTAAGCCACAACTCTAGCCCCCCGTATTATCACTATAGAATTGTAAAAGTTCTTTACTTTTACTTCAAAAATTTTCTCTAATATTTGTTTGGCAAAATATTTACTTCTTATCTTCCAGTAACAGAAGTTCGATTTTTTAAATAAAGATGTATTTATTTGTTTGAAAGGCAGGGTTACAAGGAGAGAGAAGGAGAGACACAGAGAGAGAGATCTTCCATCGCTGGTTCACTCCTCAATGGCTGCAACAGCCAGGGTTGGGCCAGGCAGAAGCCGGAGCCTGGATCTCCATCCGGTCTCCTGTGCGCCTGAGTCCTCGGGCCACCTCTCTGCTGCTTTCCCAGGCACAGTAGCAGGGAGCCGGATCACACGTGGAGCATCCAGGACCTGAACCCATGCCCACTAGGGATCCCGGGGCTGCAGGCAGTAGCTTAACCCACAGGGCTACAACGCTGGCCCCAGAAGTTTGATTCTTACGAAGTTCAGTGGGTGAAGTTTGCGTTTAGGTTCGACCCGCCTGCGGAGGGGATCTTTCTTTTGCTACCGAGTTTTGTGGCTCCTGCTTTTGGGTTCCTTTGAGGGCTGCGCCACCCTCAGGAAAGACACTGTCTCTTCTCAGCAGCCATCTCCTCACCTTAGCAAGGCTGCTGTGGTCCGCTCACTCACGTTCCGCTCCGCAAGCCACGGGCAGAGGCTGAGCCGTCATGAGGTCACCGCCCTGCCTGATGCCTGTTGCCGACCATCTGCTTCTTAGATTTTGCCCAGCGGTCTGGTTTTTCCTGGCAGAAGGCCTTCATCTATTTCTGCATCCACAGAGCTGGCGTCCAGGATCCCCATGAGGCCAAGTCTTCACCAGCACCCCCGACGGAGCCCAGACATAGCCTCCTCTCCTGACCGGGGAAGTCGATGGGCTCCCAGGCGATCAGCTCCGTGCCTGAACTTTTTCTTTTCTCCAGATTTATTTCCTTATTTGGAAAGTCAGAGAGAGAGAGAGGGAGAAAGAACCATCCACTGGTTCACTCCCCAGATGGCCACAATGGCCAGCACTGGGCCAGGGCGAAGCCAGGAGCCAGGAGCTTCATCCAGTTCTCCCACGAGGGCACAGGAGCCCAAGGACTTGAGCCATCTTCTGCTGCTTTTCCCAGGCTGTTAGCAGGGAGCTGGATTGGAGGCGGAGAGGCCATCCAGGATGCTGGTGTCGCAGGTGACAGCTGAACCCACCGCACGGCAGCACCGGCCTTGTGCCCCTCTCCCCGCTCTTTCCCGAGCAGCGCACCTCCTCACTTCAACCCACGTTTGTTGAACGGGGGAAACCGAGGGCCAGAGTCAGAGAGGCCACAGGAGCAGGCAGGTCTAGGCTGGCCGAATGAGCCTTGCTGGGCCGGTGCCAGCCAGCAGCCCGGGGGCTGTGCTCCGACACCAAACGCCCCACCGCGTGCCTGCTTAGTGGGCGCCTCGATGACCAGACTCACCCAGATGCTGCTTCTTGGTCGCAACGGCTCCTGCCTCTGCACAGGACGGTAGGAGCGGTCATCTGGGACAGGACCAGCCGCTCCGATCCTCTTTTTTAAGATATATTCAGCCACCTTCTGGTCTTCATCCCTCCACTAGGGGGCGCCAGTATCCCATAGAGGGGGGTCTGTGGTCTTGTCCCAAAGCCTGCTCCCAGCTTGTTGGTGGATCCCCCTGCAAGCCACCCCCTGGGTCTCCATCCCCTCCACCCTCCCCCTGCAAACACAACCGGCCTCCCCCCAGCTCCCTCCTCTCCTGCTGGGCTGCCCTCCCGCCCTCTCCACGGGGGGGCCCTGTCCCTGGGTGAAGGCAGTGACTGTGAGTGACAGGTGATGGCCTGACTGCCTGTCATTCCTGCCGGGGCCTCCACTTCCTCCCCAAGGAACTGACGGACCATAGAGAGGCAGTGGGCAGGAAGGGCTCCCGCAGAGACGGCCAGGGGAGTGAGCCCAGCCCACGCCCGCCCACCTGCAGGGCCCTTGGAGACAGGCCAAGCCCAGGATTTTCTCCAGGTCCCCAACTCTGGTTCCCAAGCTGCGGTGTCAGATTTCCCAGGAGCAGGTCCTGGCTTCGCTGCTAGTGAGTGACCTTGAGCAAGTTCCATGAACTCCGCTTTCCGTGTCGGGTGAACGAGGAGACACCCGTTCTTGCCTTGTAAATGAGAGGGCTTGCAAATCCGGCTCTTGGCTCGGTGCCCGGCAGAGAAGAAGAGCCGGGTCCATGTCGGCCATTATTAATAGTGCTATTAGCATCATCATCAGGAAATTAGTGTGTGCCACTTGGCTGTTCTCTTTCTTTGGAGGCTTAGAGAGAAGCTCAAGGTCTTGGGCTTTTTCCCACAGAGGCCCCGGCAGGACCCGTGGGGTTCACGGCTCTCGCACCACCGTGCCTTGCCCAGGGCCTGGGCTGTATCACGGCTGCCTCACAGCTTTGGGGTGCATGGGTCCCGGCCCAAGGTCGCGTCGTCCTGCACCCTTGGGTGACGGCGCAGGATGGCAGCAGCTGCTGCGGCCGCTCTGGCTGCTCGCCCTGCTCCCCCACCCCCACCACCTCATCTGTTCTCCGGTCATGTTCCAACCTCCAGGAGAGACTGGCAGCCAGCCCGCGCGTCAGCCACAGAAGTAGCAGACCAGAGTACGTCCCTGCCCCTGGCTGCTGCCCTGGGCCACCCTGCGGCTCCCAGCAGCCTCTCCCCTGTCACTCAGGCCCCCTCCAGCACGGCCCGGCCTTCCGGCTGGTCTGGGCAGTCGCCTCCTGTCTTCCGGAGTTGCTGAGCGAGAGTCCCTGGGGGCAGGTGTCCGGGTTGTGCTGCCTCCCCCCCCCACCGGCCCTGCCCCGGGAAAGTGAAGCACAGAGCGGCCGTGGCGCCCCCCCAGCTGTGGTGCACACGGACAGACGGGGCCGAAGAACCGCCGTGGCTTCTGACTCTGCCGCTGTGCAGTCACGGGCGCTCACACGGTGAGCGCGGACACTGGACACCACCCGCGCTGTCTCGTTCGCCCTGGCAGCAACTCAGAGACGGACCCTGCGATCATCCCCTTCTTAGACAAGGAAACCGAGGCAGGGAGGCAGGAAATGTGCGATTCAGCCCCAGGGGCTCTGAGTCTGGGCTCAGCGCCTCTGCTGCCTGGACCTGGCGACCCAGCTCTGCCCCAAGTGCCCAGCAAAGCCCTCTGAACCCTCAGGCTGCCAAGCAGCGGCTCCTCCCAAGGAAAGGGGAGGGGACAGGGCTCAGCCTCTACAGGGACAGTGTCACGGCCAGGACCTAAGTGACCGTGCCCTCTGGCCGCACACTGCACGCCAGCCCCCGGGGGACAGAAACCAGTGAGCTTCCACAGGGGCGATGGGTCCCAGGAGCCCGCTGGGGAGGCGCTGTCGGCGGAGGGAGGCAACATCTTGGTGCAGCAGGCGCTGTGAATGTGCAGGCTGCACAGGGAGCCCAGGGGTGGGGGAGGCCCCGGGAATAAGAGGTGCGCGTGGGCCGGGTGTGCGGGGAAGGTGTAAACACAGCCTGTTCCCACCACAGCCAGCCTGCTCCTGGGGGAGACGGCCCCTCCCTCCCAGCCCACATGGTGTCCCAGCTGCCAGGCCGCCCGGCAGCCACATCCCCCCACCCCCGGCGCCGCGCCGGCAGCCCCTTCCTCTCGCTCACCCGTCTGGACGCCTGGAAGCGTGCGCAGGGGGTGCCGCTGCCTTGTGGACGCGCGTCCATCCAGGCTGGGAGCCAGCCCCAGGACTGCCCCCGTGACCTTGGCCTGACAATTCCTCGAGCCAGTGGAAGGAGGCAGGCGACGGGAACGGCAGAGAGCAGAGGCAGCGACGAGGTGACAGGGACACGGCAGACAGACTGGAGAAGGAGCGTGAGATGGGACAGGCAACAGACAGGGTGGCGGGAACTCTGCCCTCTGCCTCTCGGCCTGACAGGCGCTGTCACCACGAAGGAGAAACACAGGCTGGCGGGGGCCAGGCAGGTGCTCACGGACTCCTGGCGCAGGTCAGGGGGCGCGCCGGCCCGGCACAGCTTGCCCTGGAGCGACCCGGCCCTGCCTCCTCCCTGCCCTACTTTGCCTGTGCACACCCCAGCCAGGCTGCCTGCAGCGGCCCCTCCCGGCAGGCTGCGGCCTCCCCGCCCCCCTACCCCAGTGCCTCAAGTGGGTTCCCTCAGCTGCTCACCCCTTCCCGTCCTCGCCTCCGCGGAGGTGCCGCTCCCTACAGAACTCCTCCCTCCCCTGCTGTCTGAGTCAAGGGCAAGGGCCAGCCAGCCAGACAACCCCGCTGGGCCCCGGCAGTGGGGGGCTGGATGGGGAGGAGGGATGCTGGCTTGCGCGGGGGTGGGGGGTGCTTTTGAAGATGAATGGCTGTGAGGCCGTTGGGAGCAGCTGCCTGCAGCGTCTGAGCCCGGATCCGGGAGCAGAAGCGGAAGTCTGCGTTTCTGTCTGCTTGGGACCAGGCAGGGCTGTGGAGAGAGCGAAATGGCAGAGCAGCTGGGGGCCAGGGAGGCCGGCGCTGCTGGTACTGAGCAGTCGGCGCACTGACAAAACAAGTGTTGCTCCTGCCCATTTGGAGCACACCCGCGCACGGGAACACACGCACACACACACACACACACACTCAGCACTGGGGAGGGCGGGCTGGCGGCTGCCCCATCCAGCTGCAGGCAGACCTGTCTCACACCCAGCTGGCCTTTCTTATTGATTCTTTCAGCCCGGCTGCCAGGGGCACAGGTGCCAAGGCCAATGCCACGGAAGTGAGTGGCACCACGGCCAACGGACACCGGCGCAGGCCTGGGCCACGGGCCGGCAGAGACAGGCGGCCAGGCGGGTGGAACCCCTCTGCCCAAGCAGCTGGCAACCGGCCTCTGTGGGAGCCCGGATCCTCCACTTCCCAGAGAAGGGACGCTGGGCAAACGGTCGACCCTGTCTGTGCGTTTCCTCCCACGGAGCTCGTGGGTGACAGCATCACCGTGCACCTGGGTTGTTAGAGGACAAACTAGACCTCGATGGGTGGCTGGGCGCTCTGGGCTCTGCACCGCCTCACTCCCTGCTTGAGCTGCCCCAGAGCTAGCCTGCCCACCCAGGCCAGCCCACCTCCCTCTGGGCTCAGCGGCAACAGGCCTCTCTGGTCTCCCCGCCAGCTCCCAGGGGAGCCCACAGGCTGAAAGTGCAGAGTCCACCTGCTTCCTTCCGGTTCTGTTCCCCCCTCCTCCCAGGGGCAGGGGGCCGGACCCAGGCTTGGGCTACCTCGGAAGCCAGGACAGATCTGTGCCCAGAGCTGGGACTTGCATTCCACGGCGGACACCCCAGTGTCCACAAGCACCGCCCCAGCCTCCTCCCCTGGCCTAGAAGGTGCCATCGAGACCGCACCCGCCGTCTCCGAACCGGCTCTTGCCCCGCGGCCCAGAACAGAACAGACCGGAGGTGGGAGCTGCATGAAGGATCCCACCCTCCTGCTGCCAGCCTCCACCAACGACCACGGGAGCTCGGGACCGCCTGCTGCGTCCCCCGTGGCCTTCGCACTCTCCCCTCCTCGCCCCAGCCCTGCCCTCTGCCCTCTGGGGCTACCGGCCCTGCCCTACCTGCCTGAGCCAGCTGATCCCGGTCTTGAGGAGGTGAGAATTCACTTCAGAGGCTCTTTCTCCCTAAACGGAGGAGAGCAGAGTCAGAGGCCTGACCGGACCACTCCCCACGCTTCTGTCTTTCGTCTTCCACCCCTACCCCCGGCGATCCGCCCCAACGCCGCGGGGCAGGCGCACCTAAGAAGCCCACTGGAATTTGTGACCCTGGCACTAGAGAGCAGAAATCGCACCCCAGCCACACCCCCCACCAGCCCGTGATTCCCCGACGTCAGACCGATTTTTCCAGTTAACTGGGTCCCAAGGAGTTAATAGGTAACTGCTTCCTTCTGGCTAAATCACGCCAGACCAGGCCCGGCCAGATGGTCCCCAGATCTGGCCTTTCCTCTCCTGCCGGGAGGTCTGGGCCGGGTCCACGTGGAAGTCGGCGGCCGGATGGCGTCCGGTGAGCCACAAATTAGACAGAGTGATCTTAAGCAAAGTCGCTCACAGCCCCCGGACCCCCAGTTTCCCGACCCAGTAACAGGAAACGGACACACACACGGGTCCCGCCAGCCCTCCCAGGCTACTGCGACCTCCAAGTGAGTTCATGTCCGAGCCACGTCAGGCAACAAGAACGCACTGATCAGGCATAAAATCACGAGAATCACCCACGCTGGCCGGGCAGCAGCTCCCAACCCTCGTGCTAACCTCTTATTAACCCGCGTTTACGCGGAAACAGCCTGGCCGCATCATCGGTCCAAAGTGTTCCAGACAGCAGAGGGGAGCCAGGATGGAGACCCAAACTCACAGCGAGGACCAGTGGGCAGGGTCAGCCTGACTCATGTCAGCCAGGCACTATGAGGGTGACCCCAGCCCTCCTGCAGGTCGAGGGACAGTGGCACAGAGACACATGCTTCCCGAAGTTGCCTGGGGCTGCCCTCGGGACGATCAGAACCTGGGAGGCTCCCAGGACGCTCACAGCGACAAGGAGGCATTTCAAGGGGGACACAGCGGGGCTGGGGGCGGGCAGGTTCCCAGCCAGGAAGAGACTCGGAGCACGGCTGGCAGGCCTGCTGCCGGTGCCCTGTGTGGACACACAAGCCAGAGGCCCTGGAGCCGCCTCAGGATCTCTGCTTCTCAGCCTGTCACTGGGAGTGGGGGGGGGGGGTCTCAGACACGTCCCCCCCCCCCCCGCGTGGGTCTTCAGGCACAGAAAGAGCGCGTCGCCCGCAGGTACTTGATGCAAATTTGCTGATTTTCTTTTCAGTGTTGGGAACCTCGGTCATGCATGGACGCTGGGAAGCGGCCCAGGGAAGGGAAAAGCAGGAAGTTCCCATAACTTCGCTCCCTTAAGGGCCAGATGGTCGCAGCCCAGGCAGGAGTTAACTTTCCGGCCACTGGAGACAGCGTCCTGCCCGCAGGGGCGGCCCAGCCAATGGCACGCGGCGCTGATGATGTCATGCTCCTCCCGCGCCTGCTATTGGGCACCAGGCGGCGAATCCAGCCGGCGGCTCGGGCCGCGGGGCCGCGGAGGCGGGGGCCGGGCGGCGGAGGGGGAGGGCAGGGCCGGGAGCGGCGGGCGCAGCGGTGCAGGGCGGCTGCGGCCTCCTCCCTCGCCCGCTCCCCTGCGCCTTCCCACGGAGGGCGCCCCGGGGACCGCCTCGCACTCGGGCCAGCGGGCAGCGACGTCTAGGGCCGCACGAGGCGGATGGGGGCTTCCATCCCCAGCTGGAGAGAGCAGACCCCTGGCCTGCTGGCCAGGCACACAGGGGTGACCGGGGAGTAGCCAGGCAGGCACAAGGGCGCGCGCACACACACACCCAGCAGACTCTCCAGCCTCACCTGCCTGTCGACTGCAGGTCTGTGTCGGAGCTCTTGGTAACTGCCCCGTCCACGTCGCTGGGCTCTCTGTGGGAGAGAAGGGCTGTGGGCGGTGCCCAGGCCCCCTGCCCCGCTGCTCCCCACGACCTGGCCACGCTGGACTCCGGGCAGGAGGCTGCAGCCCAGTGCCTTTGAGGTTTTACGGTCCCCCCTTTCAGAGCCTCCTAGGTCTCCTGCCTCCTTGCCTGGGGGTCCAGGCAGTCCAGCCCTCCTCCCACTTGGCTGGCGCCCAGCCCAATCACCCCCCCCCCACCCCACCCCCTGCCCGGAGCCCAGGCGGTTTCTCACGGTTGGACCCGGTTGGCAAACCGGCGGCGCCAGAGCATGGCCAAGGTGCTGAGCACAAAGAGGGTGGTGCACATGGCTCCGCTGCCCCATCCCCTCCCAGGCGGAGGCCACGATGGCCTGGCCAGCTGTCTTGAGGCTCTGGTTGGGATGGATTTAGGAGGCACAAGCTGATTAGTGGGATCAGCAGCTCTGACCTTGTGAGGGCTGATTAAGCTGGCCGGGCCCAAGGTCTTCCTCGAGTGGCAGGATAAATGGACACGGGCACTACCCAGAGTGCAGATCTGAGAGCACGCGGGCCTTGAGGCCAGCGTTGTGGCACAGCAGCCCATGCTGCAGCACCGGTTCGAGTCCCAGCTGCTCCACTTCCAATCCAGCTCCCTGCTAATGCGCCTGGGAAAGCAGTGGAGGATGGCCCAGGGGCTTAGGGCCCTGCACCCCATGAGGGAGAACTGGTTGGAGTTCCTGCCTCGCAGTTTCAGCCTGGCCCAGTCCCGGCCATTGTGGCCATTTGGGGAGTGAACCAGCAGATGGAAGACCTCTCTCTCTCTCTGTCTCTCTAGGACTCTAGCCTATCAAATAAATAAATCCTTTAAAAAAAATCTTTAGGTCTTGCCGTCAAGGGGCTGACACTCCAGACAGGTTAATGCCGCAACAGACTGGTTTGGGAGCTATTAAAGGCACCTGCTGAACACCTGGGAAGCTTCGCGTCTCGGGATGACTTCCAAGAAGAGCCGGGGACGACTGACTTTGCAGGTGCCCAAGGAAGACCAGGCCCTCACAGCTCTGCCGGGGCTGTGGCAGCTGCCGGGAACCGGAGCTGAGCGGCCGGGAGAAGGATGCCACAGCGAGGGCAGCCGCAGAGCAGGATGAGGGAAGCCAGCAAGGCGAACCCCGAGGGAGGCTGCTCTGTCTCATCCTCTCCGGCACCCACTTCAGGACCAGGGCGGAAATCAGCCTGCGCTCACAGATGCGGTACTGGGTGCCGACTCGTCCCCACACCGCGCACAGGACACACGCAAAGGATGAGCTGAAACCCCATGGAAAAGGGGAGCCCAGCCACATCCCAGGGGCACCTCTCGGGCAGCCGCGTGGGACGCCATCGGCGCAGGTGAGTGTGTGTGGAGCCTGGCGGCAGAGTGGGATGAGAGGACCCGAGCCCACACGGTCTCCTTCCCTGGTCCAGGAACCCAGCGGTCATTAGATGGAGCACTTGGACCTTGAGTTCCTGGAAGAGCCCAGGCTTGACCTTGAAACAAGATTGTTAAAATAAATACAGGAACCCAAGTGGAGGAGGACACGGCCGGCTGGGCGGCGGGACGCCAGGCCTGGAGCAGGCCAGGGTCACCCCACACGTGCTGGAACACCTGCTGTGGGGCCTGGCCATCCCCAGGAAGTCTGTGGAAGTCTGTCCCCTCCTCCCCCAGCCCTGCAGCTGGTGGTGGCTGGGCCGTCTCCAATGACCTGGGCCTTCCTCTGGGCTTCTGGACACCCAGGGCCCTGAGGTCAGGGTGGTGCCCAGATCTCCCCAGCCTGTGCTGGCCGGAAGGAAAGGGGGTGCAGGCCTGGGCACCCTTGGCGGCTGAGCTCAGGTTCCGACGACCCCGGGCGTGGCAGGCGCGCGGGGAGACGACCCTAGCCTTCACCCCTCCTGGGCCTGGGGTCCTGCGCACTGGAAGTGGCCAGGGTCCGCAGCGGGCGCCAGAGGGGCTGGCATGACCTCCTGGCAGGGATGGCGGGAGAGAGCCCCCGCCGATGCCTGGGAGGAATCGACTTCGAGTCCAGTCCCCACCACGCAAAGGGTGCACACAGCACACACGCCCGGCTGCGCCCGCGGCGAGAGCGGGACACGGCGGTCCCGGACCCGCACCCGCGGTGCGCACTCCTGGGCAGCCGGCGCCGCGTGACCGCCGCGCCCCGGGAGACCCCCAGCACGCCGGCCACACCTACCCCGGCGTCGCCCAGAGGTCGACCCCACCGCGGCCTGGCGGGTGGGGCGGGCGAGTGCCCGCCGCCTCGCCCCCACCCCGCCCAGCCTTCACCTTGCCGGAACTGGCTCGCCGACGCGGGGTAGGGGTTTGAAACGTATTTATTTTTTTTTAAACATTTTCCCAGCAGACCACATCCCCGCCCCCCGCCGGCGGGCCCCCGCCCCCCGCACTCACACACACACATTCGCGCGCACACCCGGCGCGCACAGACACACGCGCTCCCTCCCTCCGGCGCTCTGCCCCTCGCCCGCCCGCCCGCCCGCCCGCCGCGCACGCAGCCGGCCCCGGCTCCCCGCGCCCCGCCGCCGCCGCCGCCGAGCGAAGCCGGGCTGGGCTTGCAGCTGCTCATGGAGAAAGTGCCCGGCGAGATGGAGCGCCGGGAGCGGAGCGAGGAGCTGTCCGAGGCGGAGAGGAAGGCGGTGCAGGCGACCTGGGCCCGGCTGTATGCCAACTGCGAGGACGTGGGGGTGGCCATCCTGGTGAGGTAGGTGTCACCCCGGCCGGCCGGGCCCTGTGCAGGGAGGGCGGTCGCGGCCCGGGGGCGAGCTCCGGCGTCACCTCCCCAGCCGCGACTGGGGCCAGGCCGTTCAGAGCGCGGGCAGCGTGGGGCGCAGCCTTGGATGAGCCCTTGCTGGCTCCGGGGTAGGGCTCCCAGCCACTGGGGTGCAGGAGGAGGGCCCCTCGGATCCCGCCTCTCCCCAGCCTCGGAACTCCTGGCTCAGACTCTGAGCCGGTTGCCTTCCTGGCCACCGCCACCACCTCCCCCACGAGCTGTGAGGCCCACACACATTTTTCTGGGGCAGTAGGGGATCCCCATTTTAGAGACAGGAAAACTGAGGTGCAACCGAAGAGGAGGACACAGAGGGGCAGAGTTCTCTCAGCTCAACCCTCTGGAAGGAGCAGAGCAGAGGGCGAGAGAGTGGAGGCCAGGGGGACCTGGCTCTCCCCGCTGTCCAAAGGGAGGGCCGGCCAGCCGTGCGCTCCAGGTGAGGCACAGGTAAGTGGAGCAGCAAGCCATCCTCCAGGACACATCCCCCGCTGAGTTGGAGAGGGGCCCCGCCCTGAAGCCCCCACCTGGGTTCTGGGGTCATTCCGGCTCCAGGTGTCCCCGACAGACCCACGGACACAACACCTGTGCAGGGTGCACGGGCAGCATCCCTGTAGAGCGCCTGTTCCCAAGCCCCACAAGCCACTAACTGACCATGGTGACCACCGATGCTTTCTTCCCACGCCTGCTGGTCCCTGGGGTGCGGGCCTCGAGGCGCCAGGCCACCGGCGCTCTAAGCCCCCTGTCCGTGGCAGAGGGGAGCTGTCAGACAGAGGACGGAGCGGGCAGGCTTGCTGCACGAAGAGGGGACGAAACTGGCATCTGTCAGGACAGCTCCATGCCCACCTGGCGCCCTGTCCCGGCCCCGTCTCTGGCTCCTCTTCTCCCCATCACGCTCTCCCCCCACACCTGGGACCTACCCCGCAGCACGCCGATCTGCCCTGATTCCACTTCCGATGAGTTAAGGAAGGGGCGTCTGTGCCAGCTGCTTCCGGGCCCAGAGACAGCGGTGGGGGGGGGGGTGAGAGGGGCCAGGATCCTGAAGCCACAGACTCCAAGCGGGAGCAGAGCCACAGATGCGCCAGAGTTGGCAGCCCCGAGGGGCCCCCGCAGCCGTGGGTCTGGCACACACGGAAGTCACCGAGGGGAAATGAGGCAGGGTTCCCAGACCCCCGGGGAATTTCTGTCCCTGGGCCCTGCCATGTGCCGCCGAGGCGCCTGGCCTCGGAGGGGTGCAGAGGAGCCGAACCCATGAGCTCTGTTTGGGATGGTCTGGGCTCCTGGGAGGTTTTGTTTCTCTCTCTCTCTCTCTCTCTCTCTCTCTCTGCACCCACTCCTGGTTCCCTGTTCTGACTCCTGGATGGGCTGGGCCCGGGCTGGGAGAGGCATTACCCAAAGCACTCTGTGTTCAGAGAAAGGCCCACCGTTCATCTGCGAAGGCTCGGCTGGGGCCGCTGCTCACTCCTTCATGTCCACCGGAGCCCGGGGCAGCCACTCCCCGCCAGCCCCATGCCCCAGGCCTGGCCAGCGACGGAGGGATAGAAAGGGGTTAGGGCAGGAGCCGTCCTCAGGGTCCCCAGAACCTGTCGCAACTCCCCCCCTTTCCCACACCCGACACACATCCACAAGACCAGCTCTCTGCCCCTCACTCATCCCCACCAGGCCGGTGGGGTGAGGCCCCCCCTGGCGGCCACATGGGTGGTGGTGGAAGAGGCCTGGGGGGAGGAACGCCCACCCTCCCTCCTGGTTGTAACTCGGCCGCCTTCCCCCCCACGCTCAGACAAGCCTATTTCAGGCTCTCTTGGAAGCCCAGATGCCTCCAGGAAGGGAGAAAGTCCCCAGGAATGGCCGGGGAGGCTGGGATCAAGAGGGCCCAGACGCCCGGGGACTGTCCTCAGGGCCACACCCTGGCCTGAGTGTAAAGCAGGCGACGGCCCCAGGCACGGTCCCCTGACCAGCAGCCTATGCAGGTGGCAGGGCCCCTCCTGGGCTCCTTCCCGTCCCCAGGATGGCGATAACAGCGGGGCAGGGATGAGGGAGCTGTGTATACAACAAGTGCTCAAGAAACTTTGCCTGTGGCTTGCTCATCTATAAAATGGGTAGAATCCCCACTCGCTCCGTTTGAGATGCTTGGCACCTTGTCGCGTGCAAGGCAAAGCGAAAGAGCATTTTGTAAATTTTAAATTGCAATTCCAAAAAGCCCCAGAGGCTGAGGCGGTCAGCGACATCCACATTGGGGTTTTTCAGGCTGGTCTCTCATCGCTGCAAAGCTGGCAAACCCACCGCCTCCCTCATCCTCACCCGGGTCCCATGAGGCGTGGGACTCAGAGCTGGGAAACGGTTTGGTCTCCGTCTGAACTCCCCCCACCCACAGCCCACAAGGATACAGCAGCTCTGTTGCCAGAAGGGGTGGCCCGGCCGGAAGTTCTCAGCCCCCACCCCCCACCCCCGCTTCTGCAGCCCATCTCTGGCTAAGGGGCCGCTTTGGCAAAGGATCGGCGAGGGGGACGCCGCCCGGCGTGAAGCCGCCCGGCACACAGGCCCCAGACAGCCTGGCTGTTTTCCGAGGGTTCCGTTAAGTTATGTAAGTTCCGACGGAGCCCGTGCATGTGTCTCACGTGACAGCCCCGCTTGGGAAAGGAGGTGTGGATTGTCCGCACGCTCGCCAGCCGCAGGGCCCGGGCGGAGGGTGCCGGAGATCCAGCCCGACAGACGGAAGTTAGCCGGGAGGGCCTGGAGGGGACAGCCTGGGCTAGCCGGGAAGGAGACGCAGCCCGCGGAGGGCTGGTGAGGGGAGCTGTTGGCTGGAACCGAGGTGTGCTGGGGGGAGAGCGTTCCCACATTTGTAAGAGGCTGCCTTGCCCTGTTAAGGAGTTTTGACTTTGTCCAGTAGACAGTAGGGAGCCATTGAAGGTTTCTGAGGATGGGAGTGGCCCAAGGAAAGCTGCCTTGGGGGGGGTGGAATCGGATCATTTCGGGTAAGCTGGAGTGTGGAGGCGCCAGGGGCCAGGAGGGCCTGGGGTCTGCAAGGAGCGGGCGTGCCGGGGAGGTGAGACGCACGCATGTACAGGCACACGCGCACACACACGACGTAATGCCGGTACAGGCACACGCGCACACACACGACGTAATGCCGGACCCACGCCAGGCAGGCCAATCCAAGGGCCGTTTCTAATTAAATAAAATGACCAACGATCACTGCAGGGAAGTGGAGAGAGGAGAAGGAAGACAGTGTCCTCGCCCCTGCCGGGCAGCCTGAACCGACTTCCACACCAGGCTCTGCTTGGTTCAGCTGCAACCAAAACCGTGTCTCGTGTCAGCACCGGGCACGAGGCGGGTGGTTTCTCATTTCAGCCTCACGACAACCCAGGAGACAGAATGACCGTGCCCATTTTATAGATGAGGATACTGAGGCTCAGAAACGTTAAACCCCTCGCCCTGAATCACACTGGCTGGTGACTCCGGAGCCGTCTCGGCTGGGGGCTTGAGGAGCGGGTAGACTTTGGACGGGAGAAGAGAGCGAATGGGTGCAGACGCCTGGGACAGGAACTCCTGCCGACCTGGGCGGGACCTGCATGGAGGCAGATGCAAGCCAGCCCACATCTCGGCCCATGGCTCCTGCCTGCTCCTCGGCCTGTGGCTCCTGCCCACTCCTCGGCCCGTGGCTCCTGCCCACTCCTCGGCCCGGGGCTCCTGCCAATACCTTGGGCCTGTGGCTCTTGCCCACTCCTCGGCCCATGGCTCCTGCCAATACCTTGGGCCCGTGGCTCCTGCCCACACCTCGGCCCGGGGCTCCTGCCCACTCCTCGGCCCGTGGCTCCTGCCCACACCTCGGCCCGGGGCTCCTGCCCACTCCTCGGCCCACGGCTCCTGCCCACTCCTCGGCCCATGGCTCCTGCCCACTCCTCGGCCCACGGCTCCTGCCCACACCTCGGCCCGGGGCTCCTGCCCACTCCTCGGCCCGTGGCTTCGGCCCACGGCTCCTGCCCACACCTCGGCCCGTGGCTCCTTGCCCACACCTCGGCCCGTGGCGCCAGCCCACACCTCAGCCTGTGGCGCCAGCCCACACCTCGGCCCGTGGCGCCAGCCCACACCTCAGCCTGTGGCGCCAGCCCACACCTCGGCCCGTGGCTCCTGCCCATACCTCGGCCTGTGGCTCCTGCCCACACCTCGGCCCGTGGCTCCTGCCCACTCCTTGGCCCGTGGCTCCTGCCCACACCTCGGCCCGTGGCACCAGCCCACACCTTGGGCCCGCGGCTCCTGCCCACACCTCGGCCCGTGGCTCCTGCCCACTCCTCGGACCGTGGCTCCTGCCCACTCCTGGGCCTGTGGCTCCTTGCCCACACCTCGGCCCGTGGCGCCAGCCCACACCTCAGCCTGTGGCGCCAGCCCACAACTCAGCCTGTGGCTCCTGCCAATACCTCGGGCCCGTGGCACCAGCCCACACCTCGGGCCCGTGGCTCCTGCCCACTCCTCGGCCCACGGCTCCTGTCCTCCTGCTCTGGCAGCCCGGCTTCAGCGCCGGCCCCTCCGTCCCACCAGGTTCTTCGTGAACTTCCCTTCAGCCAAGCAGTACTTCAGCCAGTTCAAGCACATGGAGGAGCCGCTGGAGATGGAGCGGAGCCCCCAGCTGCGGAAGCACGCCTGCCGGGTCATGGGGGCCCTCAACACGGTGGTGGAGAACCTGCATGACCCCGACAAGGTGTCCTCCGTGCTGGCACTCGTGGGCAAAGCCCACGCCCTCAAGCACAAGGTGGAGCCCGTGTACTTTAAGGTAGGCGTGCCCCAGCTGCCCGCAGGCTCTGCAGGGGGGGGGGGCTCCCTGGGGCGCAGCAGGGGACCCCGGCCCCAGCCTCTGGGGTGCAGGGAGGGGAGCAGTGCCGGCCCTGCCTCGGGGGCCTGCCATCTGGTTCCTGGTGGCCAGATCCTTGGCCAGCCGGGGCCTGGGGGCCGCAGGGCGCCCCACTGCTCACACCCCCTTCCTCCCTTTGCCGCCAGATCCTCTCTGGGGTCATCCTGGAGGTGATCGCCGAGGAGTTTGCCAACGACTTCCCACCTGAGACGCAGAGAGCCTGGGCCAAGCTGCGTGGCCTCATCTACAGTCACGTGACCGCTGCCTACAAGGAGGCAGGCTGGGTACAGCAGGTCCCGAACGCCAGCACGTGAGGAGGCGGGTGAGGGTGGGCCGGGCAGCCTCCCTGGCGTGTCCTCCCCTGTCCCCTAGGCCTCCCATCTTTCCTGGGGCCCGGGGGGGCTGTCCTCTTGGGGCACTGGCCCAGGGCCCCTGCTCTTGGCTACACAGGGCCAGGAACACTGAGCAAACTCTCGCTGGAGTAAGGGAGTGTTCAGAGCACCCGAGGCCCAAGGTTCCTGGCGGGAAGCTTGGCTCACGTGGCCAGAGGCAGCCCAGGCCAGCTCCGACGTCCACTCCCTCCCCAAGTGCTGATCACACGGGCCTGTTTTTCCATCTAACGCTGACCACCGCTCCCATCCGCCCTCTGCCCCCACAAGGGCTGGAGCCAGGATCACGAGGCCGGGTGGCCATGCGCACGCACACGTGTGCCCGAGCCCGCATGGGACCCCGCGTGGGTGTCGCTCACACGCACCCGCTGGCAGGACCGAGGAGGGTGGCCGGCCTCAGGGACTCCAGCGGACCCGGGGCTCTGGGGCCTCCCTGGGACCCCGAGGGGCGGAGGTGGGGATGGAGTAGGACGGAGAGAGAGAGGCCAGAATGGGAAGCAGGGGTCAGCCAGCGGCTCAGGCCCCAGCTCTGGAGACGCATTGCGTGTAGTTTCCCATGGAGAAGGCGGCGTCCCCTCCCCCGGGCTCCTGGGGCCAGACCTCCTGCTCACAGGCTCCCCCCAGCCCCGGCTCCACCGAGGAGGCCAGGCCTGCTGCCCTTCCTGCCGCTGACCACACCAGCCCCCAGCTTGTTCCCGCTCCCTGCCCCCACGTCGGCTCCTCCCCAGGACAGCGCGGAGGCCTCGGGGGAACTGCTGGCTGCAGCGAGGCCCATATCCAGATGGACACAGCTGGCCCCGGCCCGCTGTGGACCCTGGAGTGCACAGGGGGCAAGCAGGGGGCCTCACCTGCCCGCAAAGGAGGGCACTGGCAGAGCCGGGGGCTGGGGTCACTCCTCCACCCCAGCTGTCACCCACAGGGGCCGGGAGGAGCCAGTGGGTGGTGGGGAGGGGGGGAGGGGGCTGCCCTCCCACCCCTCTCCCCAGGCAGCTCAGCTTTGTTTACAGCCAGGAGACAAGCTTCCTGCTTCTAGAGAAAGGGCTTTTTCCAGGGGCCTACAGGGACGGGAGAGCGAGCCGGCCCGCGAGCCCCCAGTGAATCAGAGACACATGGCCGGCGCCCCGCCTGCTCACCCCGCCGCCCGCCCGCAGGGACCCGGATCTCGCCAAACCCCAAACAGCAGGAAACTCTCAAATTGCCTCAACTGCCGCTGGTCCTGCTGCCGTAGACTGAGCCCGCCAGGTCCTGGCCGGGACTCACTGCCCGCCCCGCTGGGCCGCTGCACCCTCCCTGCTGGCACCCCCAGCTGTCACGTCTGGGACTGTCCCCTGAAGCCTTCCCACCGTGTCCCCCCACCCCAGTCTCCCTGGGCCCAGGCCTGCAGACCCACCCTCCTCCCAGGGTCCAGCTGGACTGGAGGGTGGGGCGGGGGATGGAGTTACAGAGAAGCTTCTAGAAGGCTCCATCCAACGCCTCTTATCGGCAGCAGGGATGGGCCAGGCGCCGCTGTTTATTGAGCTGTCTCTGCGTCAGGGCGGTCAGGGCGTGTGTGCCTTTGTGTGGGTGGAGCAGAGCTGGGGGCACAAGGCAGTGAGCCCACAGGGACCACCCGCACAGGCAGGGCAGACGGTGGCCAGAGGGGGTCGGCGCCAGGCCAGACAGAAGGCACCACGTTTCAGCATGAACAGAGAAAGAGCTCGTGTTGTTTGCGAAACACTTTTCTGTTTTAATTTGACAGACAGAACTCCCGTCCCCTGGTTCGTTCTCTAAATGCTTGCCATGGCTGGGGGCGGGGGTGGGGGCAGGATCACAAGCCAGGTCTCCCACAGTGATCTGAGCCATCTGGGCTGCCTCCCAGGGTCCATATTAGCAGGACCGGAAGACAGGACTCAAACCCAGGCATGGCAGTGTAGATGCGGGAGGTATAACCACTAGGCTAAACGCCCACTTCATGAAACACTCCCTTAACGCAGCTCCTGGCACTGCAGCCCCCGTAGGCAGCCGAAACAGGCATCACCCACGTTGTACAGGAAGCCACCCAGGTCACAGCAGAGGGGGCGCTAGAACTGGGGTCTGGGGGCTCAGGGGCAGGAAGGCCCCGGCCTTGCCTCCCCCAGGTGCCCTTCCCCTGCTCCCCATAACCTGTTCCCCCCATCTCCTGTCTCATCCACAGCCCACCGGCCACGCTGCCCTCCTCGGGGCCGTAGGACCCCTCCCACCTCCCCCGTCCCTGGCAGCACCTTGAGCGAAGGCCGAGTTCCGAAGACCCTCCTTGAACCTCCATTTCCGGGTGCCAAGGAAGCTGGAGGGATCCCCGATGCGTCTGCCCAGAGGGGGCCTCCGCGGTGGCCGCTGTCCCCCCACACACACCTGGAGCTGCCGGGAGGCGGCTGCCCAGATGCTGACCCCAGCGCGGGGCGGGCGGGGACCCTTCCGCCTTGCAGAGCCGGGCCGCTCTTAGCTTTTCTACTCTCCGACGTGGCTGGCGGCTGGCGGGAAGCAGGACAAGGGAGCCAGCCCCGTGTCTGCCGGCCGGCACGGAGGCCTCCGTCTCACCATGTAGAGATCACGCACACACCGTATATACAGATATATTCTATATACAACCTCTCTCTATAAATATATATAATATATATATATGCACAGTACATACCTACCACCTGTATCTGCAGGCCCGCCCGCCCGCGTGTGGGGCAGGGGGCAGAGGGCTCTGGCGGGTGCGAGTCCCCCAGGGGCGCAGCGTGGGCTGGAGTGAGGTCATCCGGCTTCCCACACCCCTGCGGCCCCTCCCCTGAAGGCTTAGGTTCACTGACTTGGCTTCCCATGGCCAAGGACAGACGGAGAGGCCCAGAGGTTCCGGGCAGGGTGATGCTGTGGGGGGAGGGGCAGTAGGGACACCTCCACTGCCAGCCTTACCCCTGTGTGATAGTTCCCCCTCCCCGGGATCTCGGCAGGTGGCAGAACCAGACAGACGCTGCCTCCTCCGGCCCCATCCCTCTGCCTCAGGGCCCAGGGCTGCCCTGCCCGGCCCGGCCCCCGACCGGCAGTGGGTCTCTGTGCACAGCAGCCCCCCCGCACCCCGTGTGCCCCTTGGTCACATGTGTTGTCCTCCGGGATGTTTGCCGCTGTGGCTGCTGCACCTGTGTTCCTCCGTGCCGTCTTCCTCCATCCGCGTAACTGCCTGTCCTGTCGTGGTTTCTCCCGTGTGTAGCCGGACCCCGGGCCATTAAACCAACCGTTCTCCTGCGTCTGTGCCGCTCCCTCGCTCCCTCGCTCGGGGCTGGGGCCTCCCCCAGGTCCCTCCTCCCCTGCGCGTGAGCCTTGGCTGCTCCAGGCCGTCAGAATGGGGGCTTTGGTGGCTGGGGGCCCCTCCCTTGTTAAGTCAGGGTCACGAGGGCTATTGTTCTAGAAATTTCCTGGCAAGGGCAGGGTCAGTGAGGAAGGAATCGAGGGTCCTGTGGGTCTGAGTGCTCCTAGTGACCTTGGCCTCCTGGGCCTGAGTGCGGGGACACGGGGGGAGCCGCACGTTGGACCGGGTGGCCCAGCCCGCGGTGCTTGGGAGAGGAAGCCCGCTCCTTCCCCGAGCCCCCGGCTCCCGGACGCCCCCCATTCTGCCCCCCAGCCCACTGGGCCAGGCCTGCAGACCTCATCGGCAGCGTCAGCTCCCCGAGGGAACAGGAGGTCACCACCCGTGGGCTGCAGGAGAGGCAGGAAGCAGCCGTGCCCCGGGGGAGCGCCCGGGCTGCCTGGGAAGCGTCAGCTGACACACAGGGAAAGTCTGACCTCCTGCAGCACGGCCCAGCCTCCCCCTCCGGGCCGCAGCATGCGAACGCAGGGTGGAAATGTGGAGAGGACGGTGAGCCCCGCTCTTAGAAAGCAGGGCACGGCCCCGCGCCATGGTGAGCTGTGCCGAGCCCGGCAGGGTACAGCCGGCCATGCCCTCCCAGGGAGGCAGCACCGCAGGCCAGGGCCCGACTTCCTGCACACTGTGCGCCCCTGGACAAGTCACTCAGCCTTTCTGAGCTGCGATCTTTAAAATGTGTTTATTTGTAAGGCACAGTTACAGAGGGAGGGAGAACTTTCAGCCACTGGCTCACTCCCCAAACGGCTGGGCCAGGCTGAAGCCGCGAACCAGGGGCTCCATCCGGGTCTCCTGCGTGGGTGGCAGAAGCCCAAGCACTGGGCCATCTTCTGCCGCCTTCCCAGGCGCATTCACAGGGAGCTGGGTGGGAAGTGGGGCACCCAGGGCAGGGTCACCCGCTGTCCCGGGTGCTGGCTGAACAACACCCGGCCGTATCACCTAAGTAGGAGTGAACGTGAACCCCACCTTGCAAGGCAGGGGTGGGGGGCAGGGTGCACGGTGCTGGGGCCAGGGCAGTAGTGAGGACAGTGAACCAATGTGGTGGGTGGTCCCGGTGGGCTCGGCCTGGCCGTGGTGGGACGGGGAGGACCTAAGGCCTGAGGTGGGCGGGGAGAATCTGAGGAGTCAGCCCCCCCCACACTGTTCCTCAGGTGGTCACCACGGCAGATCTTTCTGGAACGTAGCGCCCCTGGCCCCCCAGGAATGTCCCCTGCATCCCTGCCCCCAGGACGACGCCACTGGCAGGTCGCGAACGGCTGGGGGGCCGGGGCTGCTGCCTGGGTCCCGGGCAGAGCAAGTTCGAGGGGAGAGAGCGTGCGGGGTGGGCTCTCGGTCGGGGGCGGCCTGGGCTTCCGCTGCGCGCCCCACACGAAGAGGGAGCCCGCTCCCCGAAGAGCCACACGCGCCGGGCAGCTCCCCCTGGCTGAGCTCGGGGCCTGGGAGTGCGCGGGCTGCGGCTTCCCGACGGAGCGGCTGCACGGCGCCCCCTGCTGGCCGCGGCGGGAAGCGCAGCCGCAGCCACTGGCCGCCCAGGGTCGCCCGTCCCCGGGGGTTTAAAGCCCTGTTGGAGCCAGAGGCAAGAAGCGCTGTAGACACCCGTGGGAACACCCACCCGTGAGCCACGAGGATGAGGAGAAACAGCTAATGATGCTCCACTAAAACCGCACACACGGCTGCTGGCCCAGCCCCTCCCTGGTCCCCACTCCCGGCACCTGCTCAGGACCAGGAGGGTTCCTTGGGGGAAGGAACCTGTCACAGTAGGGTGACAGCTGGGACTCTGGCAGCCCCTTTGGGCTGGAGGCACTGAGTCAGGAGCTTTTCAGGCTCCCTAAGTGAGAAGTCTTAGGTTTGGAAGTGGTGGGGGGGTGGGGCAGCACAGCACCTTGAGCCTGGGAAGCTGCAGTGGCCAGAGTGGGGGTGCAGCTCCGGGCCCTGGGCCTCCAGCCCTCTCGGCATCTCCTCAGCCCCAAGACGCTGTTGTTCGTTTATTAATACTGGTTTTTCCAAAACTTTGTTTTTTTCATTGTATCTGAAAGGCACAGAGACAGAGAGAGATCTTCCATCTGCTGGTTCACTCCCTGGAAGCCGTCAACAGCCAGGGCTGGGCCAGGCCAAAGCCAGGAGTCTGGAACTCCGTCCAGGTCTCCCCCGTGGGTGTCAGGGACCCAAGTACTTGAACCACGGGGTGCTGCCCCCCAGGGTGCAGCTCGGCAGGGGGCTGCATTGGAAGTGAGGGGGCACCGATAGGGGGTCCCGGTGGCCCGGGGGTAACACCTGCCCCGGAAAGACACTGGTTGGCCCAAGCCTTTCTCGGTCCTGTGAGTGGGCGGGGCTCTCATTCGAGGCCACCACATAAGCCCTCGGCTGCCCTGCGGGAGGCGCCCACCTGTGGTCCAACCAGCTCCACGGTGTGGTCCTGCACCACTGCCCCCGTTTCCGCAGTTACCGGCAAAGGGCACAGCCGCCAGCCCCAGATGACTTCCTGTGGCTTCTGGCTTTGTCGCCACAGGGTCTCTGTGCCCCCTGCAGCAGCCAGGGGTCAATCCTCGGGGCCCGCTCACGTGGGCAAGTGGAGCCGCTGTTGTCTGAGGGGAGGCACCAGGGCAGGGCAGTTTCGGCAGGAGGTGTGTGGCAGGCGGCTGGGCTCTGCAGCATGGCAAAGATGTCGGCTGGGACCGGAAGTGGGGATTGCATGAGGTCCCTGAGCACAGAGCTTGGGAAGAGAGAGAGGCCTGGGGCTGGTGCTGTGGCATTGTGGGTAAGGTTCTGCCCTGCAGTGCCAGCAACCCATAGGGCGCCGGTTCTGGTCCCGGCTGCTCCACTTCCCATCCAGCTCTCTGCTGTGGCCTGGGAAAGCAGTGGAGGATGGCCCAAGTGCTTGGGCCCCTGCACCTGCATGGGAGACCCAGAGGAAGCTCCTGGCTCCTGGCTTCAGATTAGCCCAACTCCGGCCGTTGCGGCCATCTGGGGAGTGAACCAGTGAATGGAAGACCTCCTTCTCTTTCTCTTTGGCTCTCCCTCTCTGTAATTCTGCCTTTCAAGAAAACAAATCTTAAAAAAAAAAAGACATCACTATTAATAATTTTTAAAAAAAGGAGTGAGCCCTGGAGCCAGGGGCCCTGAAGCTGGCTGGAGGGAGGGGAGAGATTTTCTGGGTGGCCACGGCCGGCTGCGCGGCCACGCTCCTGGGGTGCAGAGCCCTAAGGACAGCCAGCAGTGGGAGAGCCGCCCAGGGTGTGACGAGGCCTGTTCAGGGTGGGGTCTGCAGGGGCCAGATGGAGTGGGGAGACAGCGGTCCAGCCATGCGCGGCCTGAGCCCTGGCAGAGGGGCAGAGAGGGGCCTGGCGGGGGTGGGGGAGGCTGCAGGAGGGAGGTCCCCAGGGAAGAGAAAGAGGCGATTCCTTCCTCGGTTTTGGGGGCCCAAAAGGCCAAGATGGAGGTGCTGGCACATTTGGAGTCTGGGGTGCCAGCCATAGACAGCCCCCTCCTCACTTTGTTCTCACGTGGTGGGAGGGGCCGGGGTCTCTCTGGGGTCCCCTTGACAGTGACCCCAGCCCCGTTCAGGAGGGCTCCGGGCTCATGGCCGGATCACCCGCTGACCCTGGCAGCACCTTGGAGGACACAGACAGGCCATTGCGGTGGCTGGGGAGGTGGTCTCCAAGGACATCCTGGGGACGGGCCGGTGCACTGTGCTGCGGCCAGGGGGTGACGGTGAGGCCGCCCTGGCTGTCCCCTCTCCTCACTGCCCAGCCAAGCTCATCACTTGAGGAGCCGTGCGTGTGGGAGGGAGCGGGGTGCCCCCAGTCAGGGCACCTCCTGAAGGACGTGTGTACCGTGAGCTCGAAGGGAGGGCAGCCCAGAGGCCAGGGGCGTCCTGAGCGCCGAGCCTCACGCGTGGGCAAGCCTGGACACTCACCGGATAAAACTTGTGAAAGGTTTATGTATGGAGTTATTCATTTGAAAGGCAAAGTGACAGAGAGAGAGAGAGATTTTCTTTCTGCTGGTTCACTCCCCAAACGGCCGCAGTGGCCAGGGCTGTGCCAGGCCGAAGCCAGGAGCCTGGAGCTCCATCCGGGTCTCCCACATGGATGGCAGGGGCCCCAGGACTTGCCACCATCTTCTGACACTTGCCCAGGCACGTTAGAAGGGAGCCAGATCAGAAGTGAAGCAGCCGGGACTCGAACCAGCACTCCTAAGCAATGCCAGTGTTGCAGGTGGTGCTTTAACCCCAAGCGTGATTTTTTTAATTAATAGTAGGGGTGGGCGTTCAGCGAAATGATTAAGATGCCACTTGGGTCACGTGCGTCTCACATCGGAGCACCTGGGTTCGAGCCTGGCTCTGCTCCCACTCTAGCTCCGCCGACCCACACCCTGGGCCGGATGAGCTCCAGGCTCCTGGCTTTGGCCTGGCCAGCGCGGGCTGTGTGATCATTAGGGATGAAAATTGTTCCGTCTCTGTCTCTCTGCCTTTCAAATAAACGGGGGGAAATGTTCAATATAATTTTGTAAAAAAAAAAGTTACAGGCCGGCGCCGCGGCTCACTAGGCTAATCCCCCGCCTAGCGGCGCCGGCACACCAGGTTCTAGTCCCGGTTGGGGTGCCGGATTCTGTCCCGGTTGCCCCTCTTCCAGGCCAGCTCTCTACTGTGGCCCGGGAGTGCAGTGGAGGATGGCCCAGGTGCTTGGGGCCTGCACCCCATGGGAGACCAGGAAAAAGCACCTGGCTCCTGGCTCCTGCCATCGGATCAGCGCGGTGCGCCGGCCGTAGCGCACCGGCCGAGGCGGCCATTGGAGGGTGAACCAACGGCAAAGGAAGACCTTTCTCTCTGTCTCTCTCTCTCTCACTGTCCACTCTGCCTGTCAAAAAAAAAAAAAAAAGAAAAAAA